CAGACGTTGTGGTATTCTGTGGAATAACTTACATCCAGATGGACTTCTACCACTTCAGTATCTCAGACGTTGTGGTATTCTGTTGAATAACTTACATCCAGATGGTCATCTACCACTTCAGTATCTCAGACGTTGTGGTATTCTGTTGAACAACATACATCCAGATGGTCATCTACCACTTCTGTATCTCAGACGTTGTGGTATTCTGTTGAACAACATACATCCAGATGGTCATCTACCACTTCAGTATCTCAGACGTTGTGGTATTCTGTTGAACAACATACATCCAGATGGTCATCTACCACTTCTGTATCTCAGACGTTGTGGTATTCTGTTGAACAACATACATCCAGATGGTCATCTACCACTTCAGTATCTCAGACGTTGTGGTATTCTGTTGAACAACATACATCCAGATGGTCATCTACCACTTCAGTATCTCAGACGTTGTGGTATTCTGTTGAATAACATACATCCAGATGGTCATCTACCACTTCAGTATCTCAGACGTTGTGGTATTCTGTTGAATAACTTACATCCAGATGGTCATCTACCACTTCAGTATCTCAGACGTTGTGGTATTCTGTGGAATAACTTACATCCAGATGGTCATCTACCACTTCAGTATCTCAGACGTTGTGGTATTCTGTTGAATAACTTACATCCAGATGGTCATCTACCACTTCAGTATCTCAGACGTTGTGGTATTCTGTGGAATAACTTACATCCAGATGGTCATCTACCACTTCAGTATCTCAGACGTTGTGGTATTCTGTTGAACAACATACATCCAGATGGTCATCTACCACTTCAGTATCTCAGACGTTGTGGTATTCTGTTGAATAACTTACATCCAGATGATCATCTACCACTTCTGTATCTCAGACGTTGTGGTATTCTGTTGAATAACTTACATCCAGATGGTCATCTACCACTTCAGTATCTCAGACGTTGTGGTATTCTGTTGAATAACATACATCCAGATGGTCATCTACCACTTCAGTATCTCAGACGTTGTGGTATTCTGTTGAACAACATACATCCAGATGGTCATCTACTTTCAGTATCTCAGACGTTGTGGTATTCTGTTGAATAACTTACATCCAGATGATCATCTACCACTTCTGTATCTCAGACGTTGTGGTATTCTGTTGAATAACTTACATCCAGATGGTCATCTACCACTTCAGTATCTCAGACGTTGTGGTATTCTGTTGAATAACATACATCCAGATGGTCATCTACCACTTCAGTATCTCAGACGTTGTGGTATTCTGTTGAATAACATACATCCAGATGGTCATCTACCACTTCAAGTATCTCAGACGTTGTGGTATTCTGTTGAATAACTTACATCCAGATGGTCATCTACCACTTCAGTATCTCAGACGTTGTGGTATTCTGTTGAATAACATACATCCAGATGGTCATCTACCACTTCAGTATCTCAGACGTTGTGGTATTCTGTTGAATAACTTACATCCAGATGGTCATCTACCACTTCAGTATCTCAGACGTTGTGGTATTCTGTTGAATAACTTACATCCAGATGATCATCTACCACTTCAGTATCTCAGACGTTGTGGTATTCTGTTGAATAACATACATCCAGATGGTCATCTACCACTTCAGTATCTCAGACGTTGTGGTATTCTGTTGAATAACATACATCCAGATGGTCATCTACCACTTCAGTATCTCAGACGTTGTGGTATTCTGTTGAATAACTTACATCCAGATGGTCATCTACCACTTCAGTATCTCAGACGTTGTGGTATTCTGTTGAATAACATACATCCAGATGGTCATCTACCACTTCAGTATCTCAGACGTTGTGGTATTCTGTTGAATAACATACATCCAGATGGTCATCTACCACTTCAGTATCTCAGACGTTGTGGTATTCTGTTGAATAACTTACATCCAGATGGTCATCTACCACTTCAGTATCTCAGACGTTGTGGTATTCTGTTGAATAACATACATCCAGATGGTCATCTACCACTTCAGTATCTCAGACGTTGTGGTATTCTGTTGAATAACATACATCCAGATGGTCATCTACCACTTCAGTATCTCAGACGTTGTGGTATTCTGTTGAATAACATACATCCAGATGGTCATCTACCACTTCAGTATCTCAGACGTTGTGGTATTCTGTTGAATAACTTACATCCAGATGGTCATCTACCACTTCAGTATCTCAGACGTTGTGGTATTCTGTGGAATAACTTACATCCAGATGATCATCTACCACTTCTGTATCTCAGACGTTGTGGTATTCTGTGGAATAACTTACATCCAGATGGTCATCTACCACTTCAGTATCTCAGACGTTGTTGCAATCCGTTGTATAGTCTACACCCAGATGGACATCTACCCATTCCACTTGTAACGTTGAACCGTACAGGGGGACAGATAGGTCCCCCGTACCCCAAGGATTGTTGCAATTGTTCAATGGTTTAGCTCTTCAGCCTATCAAGTATTGCTGTAATCTACCGAATAGCCTACAGCCAGGTCAAATGGCTCTTCAATATCTCATTTTTGTAATCTATTTAATAGCTTACAACCAAATATACAAATGGCTCTTAATTATCGCAAACATTGCTGTAATCTGTTTAATATCTTACAGACAAATCGTATGTGTCTTCAACGTGTGAAACACAGAAACATAGTTGAAATCTATTGAAAAGCTTACAGAAAAGATTAACACACATAGCTTATCGGCATTACAAACAATGTTATTATCTGGACAAAAGAAACCCAGTTTCTCTTTAAATGTTTTGTATCTGTGTTATAGGTCTTAAAACCCAATCCCACATCAACCGAAACATCCTTCTAAAGTACTGTCGGAAATAGAAAATTTACACATTTACACAAATAGCATATGTCGAAATAACCCACATCGGTCTAACTGGGCATTCAGTGGGATGCGTAATAGGATATCCAGAAAAGCATATTTACTCGTAAAAATCGGGCAAAACTTAGAAAAAATATGACTAGCTACTGAAAACAATGGATCAGACTATAGATGGCAATTAGGTCGCTCAGCCAGGTATGACGACGGACCATCGAGTCACCTGGCATGGACTGCACGTGCTGCCTAAAGGCACAAAGGGATCATCTCAAAGATATTTGATGCCTTTTCTTGTGTGATGAATATGTCGCATCTATTGATTAACATCTTACGTGTATTTCTTTCATAAAGTTTATGTTCAGGTATGTACAACAGTATGATACCCATAGAAAAGCATACTCAGTCATCGTATTAAATGTCTCAAACTATATAGGTGGCATGAGCACCCGAAGATCGACAGGACTGGATATTATATGTAAATTGTTATGGCATGCCGTTTACTTCCCCAGTTTAGTTCCCCTGAAGGATCACCTTATCTTAGCTGATATCTGTATCCCCCAGCCCGACCCCAAACCACCGTCTGCGACACACGTCCTTGTTTTGCTTTTGAAACGACCCCTCCTACCTGTTTCTTTCTATAGTGATAGTGAGACTCCATGGTAGCTACATCCTTACTGTTTTCACAATTAACGTTATTATTTTTTTACGTCAGCTATCGTTTATAATGAAGTTAAGTCTAAGTTCAAAATGTCCTTTGTAATACAATATCATCGCCTTCCAATTCGCATAAAGCCATGGTCTGTTCCAAATAAGTCGATTTGGACTGCACTAATCTCTCCCGAGTAAAGTCCAATTTTTACGTTTCTTATCTCCCTACAACTGAGACTATAGTTAGGACGCACTTAGTTTAAGAAATATTTCACACTTTCACATATTCTCTACATAAATTGTAGACGTAAATGTGAAATAACAGTTATTTTCTATTTCCGACAGTACTTTAATAGTCTATATTTTGTTATACTGGATCTGACTTTCTGTGTAGGCAACGTTATGGATTCACAAAATTGTCTGAGTTTCATGAAACAGCATATTTGTAATTTGTTTCCAAAAGGATATTGAAGGTTGGCACCTTTCATGACAGCCACGTCTTGAGAACTGCCGGTACCAGCGGTACATCGCGAATCCATAGATATATATGCGGTAAACAAACCTGACTCACAAAATGTCATCAGCCACCGCTGCATGCATTATTGATCAATTTGTTGTCTCTTTTTCAGATGTAACTATGAAAGTGAAAAAACACAGCCCCATACTGAGTCCTCTGACTGCCTCGTTTTGACATATATTTGATGATACATCACTCCCGGTGTGCGCAAACCAGACGTTGACTTATATACACGACATCTTGTCAAAAGGACCCAGTAGTGTGATCATTTTCTTGAACAGTTGATGCTATTCAGCACTTTTAACTGCCCGTTCCATGCCCTGTTGCAGACACTGTAATTAGCGACAATAATTAGCGTATGGTTAGGTGAGGGGTCAGGTCGTGTCCCTAAAGTGAGTGAGTGAGTATGATTATACGCCGCTTTTAGCAATATTCCAGCAATATCATGGCGGGGGACACCAGAAATGGGCTTCAACCATTTGACCCGTGTGGGGAACCGAACCCAGGTCTTCGGCGTGAGGAGCGAACGCTTTAACCACTATGTTACCCCACCGCCCCCTGTGTCCCTCGATAATGGTCAAATATTTCATGTATTTTTCAGAAAGTAGACCTGTGACATTTTTCCATAATCAACCCCTTTTACTAAAGCTGTGCTAAATTGTGATGAATCCCTTTTCGTTGTCATTTTATCATGCCCCTCATCATCAGAGCATCATGATTTAATTAAATTATCAATTATTAGCATTAACAATGCGCTGAGGAAGTCATTCTGTTCGCCGGATGAGGTACAAGTAGGTACTGGGGTTCGGATGTAATATATATAAATACATGAAACCAAAACTAAAGACACATATTCACTGTATAAGAGATCATTATTGACAACCGGATAACACGCACCATGAAAATTGCGACATGCGATTAATAATGGGGATCAAGGTGTAAGGGAGGCTACTCATTAAAGGGAAGAGTTAACTCCCTTACAGGAAGTCAGTTTCACGCTGCCTCGCACTTCGCTCAAGGATCTTGGCCTATTATTTTCTGTTATGACAAATGTGGATTAGCGAAAACTATCTGCCGAGATTTACATGTTAAAAGATTAGGGAACAGGTCGTCAAGTGAGTTGCTCTGTTGTCATCTTACGACCATCTGTCAACGTGGTTCATCGTCCAGTCTTTCGTGTTTACGTTTGTAAATATGTCCTGATTTCGATCACCATGTGCCATCTCATCATAACGTGTAACGGTGTTTTCGATCTGAACAGTCAGGGTTTAAGATTTGGGAGAGACTTCCGCCCGTATCCCCCCTTAAATTTCATTCTAGTCAAATCATATCACCTGAGTATTTATTCCTCATCTGATAAGGATGAGTTTTAACATGTTAATTTTAAACATTTTACATGCTAATTGTATATGAACATACGGTATTGAAACTTATAAACATGCCACTCAAAGAAATGTTTCCTTACCGTTAAAATGTAGGGGGGATACGGGCGGAAGTCTTACCAAGATTTGTGTATAATCTACGATCCTGAATGGTTTTGCCAATAACTGATGTCACAGAATGTGTCCTGTTCAAATTTGATTAAATCATAACACGTTTCCAGAATGTTCTCGACCGTAATCACGCGCATATCGTCAAGTCATACAATTTCGATCGTCATGTAACTTCGATCGCCCATTTTGAAGTGTAATTGTCGCAATACGTAGCGATAACTTACGATATCTGCAGCTTTGATCTTCTGGTCAAAAGCAGTAAAAATACCTGGATTTTGGGAATGTTTGACATAAATAAATAAGTTTAGAGGTAAGATATTTGAAAATATAATTATATGAATATAACTTAGCAAATACAGCGACAGTTCTTAAGTGATCGAACTTACATGACACAAGGATAATTTAAATGACCATGACATGATTTGTATGTGTTGACAAGGTCCCCTTCGCCTGCTTGTTGTCACAACCGAAGCGCCTAGTGCTTATGGATTTCATCGGAGTGGAAAACGTCCGGCATCACTCCGGGTTATCCACCTACATCTGTGATTTGAAAAAAACTGTTAAAATTGAAAGTTGGAACTGTTAAAACCAGCCCACTTACTCACTCGATGTCGAGTGGATATAACTGTTAATACTCTGTGTGCAGAGCTGTCATCTGAGAATCTTTGAAATACTATGACAATTCTCAGGATAACATTCGAAAGTAATGCTTACATTTTCCGTTATATTAGTTTGAATCTGCCAAGCATCTGTTTAATCTGCAAGAAGCATGATATTTGAAACTGTATGACCAGAAACTGTATGACCCAAAACTGTATATAACACACGTTAATACACAGCTGAAATTTGTTTGTTACCTTTACCATGATCAAAAATATAATTTAGTGGAAACTTGTTCAGGTATTACACTGAAATACCAATCAGGTTATTAAGTGAAAATCTAAACTGTTAATTTTTTCTCTGCATAATCTTGTAGATTGTTTAGAAGAGGGACATCTTTCTTCTCGATTATTCCAGATCAATCAAAATGAACCGGTCACTGATCAAGCAGAAGAAGGACTGGACAGATGAAGAGAGGAAGGAGCTAGCAGCCAAACTGGATGCTGAGTTTGAACAGTACCTTGAGGGCATGATCGAGAAGAGCAAGAACAAGTCTCAAGCTGAGCATGAAGCAAGCATAGAGGAAATACTAGCCGTGAGTCAGTCATGTAGTGTTGATATCTCCCCAGGTGGCCACATGGCCAAGTCGATCGTCATCTTGATTACACCATAGCAACATCCTGACAGTAGCAGGTTACCTCACCCAGATGAACACTACACAGCTGTCATTCATTCTCTGATGAAACTTGTTAATATGTCAGTGTGTTATGTTGTCAATAAAGCAGAGAGTTACAGAATTGCATTTTGGGAAAATCCTCAGTGTCAAAAAATAAAGTCAAATACAAAAATACCTTTTAGAGAGATTAAATCAGCATGATTCATCATGTAAAGGAAGCGTCCATCAGAACTTGTAACAGAGAATGCTCAACTTGCTAAAGCATAAATTCACATAACTTTCTCATGGATTCATTTTCAACATCAGCCTGATTTTGACTTCATTACTTCCAACTTTACTGGGTGCGTCTTCCATTTACTATGAATAAAGCATCCACTTTATGACTTTTGATAGGTTACGGGATGTAACACCAATGGGGTTTTTGGTGGAAAGATGAATGGAGACAAAAGTAGCTCTCCTTATATTATAAATACTGAAGTTTGGTGTTTAAATGGATTGTCTTGTTATGGTTTATGTAAGTGTCAATGGGGCAGTGGGGTAGCCTAGTGGTTAAAGCGTTGGCTCGTCACGCCGAAGACCCCGGGTTCGATTCCCCACATGGGCACAATGTGTTAAGCCCATTTCTGGTGTCCCCCGCCGTGATATTGCTGGAATATTGCTAAAAGCGGCGTAAAACCAACCTCAGTCTGTCAGTTAGTGTCAATATTAGGACAGAAGCTGTTTGTGTTGCCTCTCTTCAACTGATGAAGACAGTGCCTCACATGAACAAGTTCAAGATAAAGTGCTTTGCACGTCATAAATTAGAACTTGATAAACATACGACTATTAACTTTGTCGTCTTGAAACTGATGGGGCCAGAAGTTGAACTCTCCATGAACAGAACCTGATACTGGACAGGTCAGCCGGTCCTAGTGACCGCAGCATGATGTAAGGTTGGAGTGAGTGAGTGAGTTAGGTTTTACTTTGCTTTTAGCAATATTCCAGCAATATCACAGCGGGGGACACCAGAAATGAGCTTCACACAATGTACCCATGTGGGGATTCGAACCCGGGTCTTCAGCTTGACGAGCGAACGCTTTAACCACTAGGCTACCTGACCGCCCCCTGTAAGATTGGAAGTGATGCATGTCCAGTGGTAGTGTCTGTGTTGCAGGATATTGACGGCCACCCAGCTTTCATGACGTCCCAGGATGATTTAGACCTGACCAAGCCGCTGCATCCAGCTGTGGAGGGACTCATGGCCATCAAGTACGAGAGTGACAACCCGACAGGTGCAAATATGTCCTCATCATGATACCTGGAAACAGACAGTGGTCAAAGACTGAGATTTTCATTTGAAATTGCCCTGTCGTTTCCACGGGAGAAACATCCTATGTACTCACAATGGGGAGTCCAATGCAACGTTCGGCTATAGTAGACCATAGGCTAACAAATGACATAGCTTTGTGGATCGGGACCCTGGCAATTTGACTCACATGGTAGTTGATTTAGAGATTATCTTACACCCAGTCGTAGTTGCTTCATAGTATTGACCACTGGTTTATACAACCTTGACTTCTGATATCTCATGTGTCGTACGTAAGTCATTCTAAATGTCTTGTAATTATAACATCAGTTATTCTCCACAGCTCGCGCAGACAGCTACAGAGACGATGGTAATGACAACTTCAAAAAGAAAAACTACCGCATTGCAATAGAAAACTACGCTGAGGCCATTAGGAGCAAGAGTCCTGACAAGAAACTGAATGCAGTGTGTTATACAAACAGAGCTGCAGCGCAATATCACCTGGGTAAGCAGCACCGTATGACCTTGGTGAGCAGCACCGTGTCACCTTGGTAAGCACCACCGCGTCACCTGGGTAAGCAGCACCGTGTCACCTTGGTAAGCACCACCGTGTCACCTGGGTAAGCAGCACAGTATCACCTGGGTAAGCACCACCGTGTCACCTGGGTAAGCACCACCGTGTCACCTGGATAAGCGACACAGTGTCACCTGGGTAAGCAACACCGTGTAACCTTGGTAAGCAGCACTGTGTCACCTTGGTAAGCACCACCGTGTCACCTGGGTAAGCACCACCGTGTCACCTTGGTAAGCATCACCGTGTCACCTGGGTAAGCAGCACCGTGTCACCTTGGTAAGCACCACCGTGTCACCTGGGTAAGCACCACCGTGTCACCTGGGTAAGCAACACCGTGTAACCTTGGTAAGCAGCACCGTGTCACCTGGGTAAGCAGCATAGTATCACATGGGTAAGCAGCATAGTATCACCTGGGTAAGCACCACAGTATCACCTGGGTAAGCACCACCGTGTCACCTGGGTAAGCAGCACCGTGTCACGTGGGTAAGCAGCACCGTAACACCTGGGTAAGCACCACCGTGTCACCTGGGTAAGCAGCACCGTGTCACGTGGGTAAGCACCACCGTATCACCTGGGTAAGCACCACCGTGTCACCTGGGTAAGCAGCACAGTATCACGTGGGTAAGCAGCACCGTGTCACGTGGGTAAGCAGCACCGTATCACCTGGGTAGGCACCACCGTGTCACCTGGGTAAGCAGCACCGTGTCACGTGGGTAAGCAGCACAGTATCACCTGGGTAAGCACCACCGTGTCACCTGGGTAAGCAGCACCGTGTCACGTGGGTAAGCAGCACAGTATCAAGTGGGTAAACAGCAGCGTATCATCTTGGTAAGCAGCACAGTATCGCCTGGCTAAGCAACGGAGTGTCACCTGTGTAAGCAGCACAGAATATGGTCAGCAACACAGTATCACCTTGGTAAGCAACACAGTATCACCTGGGTAAGCAGCACAGTATCACCTGGGTAAGCAGCGTAGTATAACCTGGGTAAGCAGCACAGTATCACCTGGGTAAGCAGCACAGTATCACCTGGGTAAGCAGCTTAGTATCACCTTGGTAAGCAGCACAGTATCACCTGGGTAAGCAGCAAAGTATCACCTTGGTAAGCAGCACAGTATCACTTGGGTAATCAGCACCGTACCACCTTTGTAAGCAACACAGTATCACCTGGGAAAGCAGCACAGTATCACCTTGGTAAGCAACACAGTATCACCTGGGTAAGCAGCACAGTATCACCTTGGTAAGCAACACAGTTTCACCTGGCTAAGCAGCGTAGTATCACCTTGGTAAGCAACACAGTATCACCTGGGTAAGCAGCACAGTATCACCTGGGTAAGCGGCGTAGTATCACCTGGGTAAGCAACACAGTATCATCTGCGTGAGCGGCGTAGTATCACCTTGGTTAGCAACACAGTATCATCTGGGTAAGCAGCACCGTACCACCTGGGTAAGCAACACAGTATCACCTGGGAAAGCAGCACAGTATCACCTTAGTAAGCAACATAGTATCATCTGGGTAAGCAGCACAGTATCACCTGCGTAAGCAGCGTAGTATCACCTTGGTAAGCAACACAGTATCACCTGGGTAAGCAGCACAGTATCACCTGGGTAAGCAGCGTAGTATCACCTTGGTAAGCAACACAGTATCATCTGGGTAAGCGGCGTAGTATCACCTTGGTAAGCAACACAGTATCACTTGGGTAAGCAGCACCGGATATCACCTTGGTAAGCAGCACAGTATCACCTGGGTAAGCAGCACAGTATCACCTTGGTCAGCAACACAGTATCACCTGGCTAAGCAGCGTAGTATCACCTTTGTAAGCAGCACAGTATCACCTGGGTAAGCAGCGTAGTATCACCTTGGTAAGCAACACAGTATCACCTGGGTAAGCAGCACAGTATCACCTGGGTAAGCAGCGTAGTATCACCTTGGTAAGCAACACAGTATCATCTGGGTAAGCGGCGTAGTATCACCTTGGTAAGCAACACAGTATAACTTGGGTAAGCAGCACCGTGTATCACCTTGGTAAGCAGCACAGTATCACCTGGGTAAGCAGCACAGTATAACCTTGGTAAGCAACACAGTATCACCTGGCTAAGCAGCGTAGTATCACCTTTGTAAGCAACACAGTATCACCTGGGTAAGCAGCACAGTATCACCTGGGTAAGCAGCGTAGTATCACCTGGGTAAGCAACACAGTATCATCTGGGTAAGCGGCGTAGTGTCACCTTGGTAAGCAACACAGTATCATCTGGGTAAGCAGCACCGTACCACCTGGGTAAGCAACACAGTATCACCTGGGAAAGCAGCACAATATCACCTTAGTAAGCAACATAGTATCATCTGGGTAAGCAGCACAGTATCACCTGGGTAAGCAGCGTAGTATCACCTTGGTAAGCAACACAGTATCACCTGGGTAAGCAGCGTACCTTGGTAAGCAACACAGTATCACCTGGGTAAGCAGCACAGTATCACCTGGGTAAGCAGCACAGTATCACCTGGGTAAGCAACACAGTATCATCTGGGTAAGCGGCGTAGTATCACCTTGGTAAGCAACACAGTATCACTTGGGTAAGCAGCACCGTGTTTCACCTTGGTAAGCAGCACAGTATCACCTGGGTAAGCAGCACAGTATCACCTGGGTAAGCAGCACAGTATCACCTTGGTAAGCAGCACAGTATCACCTGTATATCCTCTGGGTTGCAGAATATTGATCTGGTTTTGTGTTTAACATTGTGATGTTTTCTGTTGCAGGAAACTATGGGTCCTCCTTAAGGGATTGTATTTTTGCCCGCAAGTTTCAGCCTGATCACTGGAAGGCCATTATGAGAGGTGAGTGAACACAGGAAACCATTTGTAGTGTTGAATTCATGCACCATCCTAGTGTTTACATCCAACACTGCTGTAATGTAAACAGTGTTGTGCAGACAGCTGTTGTGGTGTTGATGTCATGAACTGCTATAATGTTGGTGCTATGCATTCCTGTAGTGTTGACACCATGCTCCGCCCTAGTGTTGACACCATGCTCCGCCGTAGTGTTGACACCATGCTCCGCCGTAGTGTTGACACCATGCTCTGCTGTAGTGCTGACACCATGCTCCGCTGTAGTGCTGACACCATGCTCCGCTGTAGCGTTGACACCATCCCCGCCGTAGTGCTGACACCATGGCTCCGCCGTAGTGTTGACACCATGGTCTGCTGTAGTGTTGACACCATGCTCTGCTGTAGTGTTGACACCATGCTTTGCTGTAGTGTTGACACCATGTTCCACTGTAGTGTTGACACCATGCTCCGCCGTAGTGTTGACACCATGCTCCACTGTAGTGCTGACACCATGCTCCGCCCTAGTGTTGACACAATGCTCTGCTATAGTGCTGACACCATACTCCGCTGTAGTGCTGACACCATGCTCCACTGTAGTGTTGACACCATGCTCTGCTGTAGTGCTGACACCATGCTCCACTGTAGTGCTGACACCATGCTCCGCCGTAGTGTTGACACCATGCTCCGCTGTAGTGTTGACACCATGCTCCACCATAGTGTTGACACCATGCTCCGTCATAGTGTTGACACCATGCTCTGCTGTAGTGCTGACACCATACTCCGTTGTAGTGCCGACACCATGCTCCACTGTAGCGCTGACACCATGCTTTGCCGTAGTGCTGACACCATGCTCCGCCGTAGTACTGACACCATTCTCCGCCGTAGTGCTGACACCATGCTCCACTGTAGTGTTGACACTGTGCTCCGCTGTAGTGCTGACACCATGCTCCGCCGTAGTGCGGACACCATGCTCCGCCGTAGTGCTGACACCATGCTCCGCTGTAGTGCTGACACCATGCTCCGCTGTAGCGTTGACACCATCCCCGCGGTAGTGCTGACACCATGCTCCTCTGCGGTAGTGTTGACACCATGGTCTGCTGTAGTGTTGACACCATGGTCTGCTGTAGTGTTGACACCATGCTCCGCCCTAGTGTTGACACCATGCTCTGCCGTAGTGTTGACACCGTGCTCCTCACATAATGCTCCAGTAGTGTTGACACCATGCTTGGCTGTAGTGTTGACACCATGCTCCACTGTAGTGTTGACACCATGCTCCTCCAGCGGTGACACCATGTTGACACACCATGGTCTGCTGTAGTGTTGACACCATACTCCACTGAAGTGTTGACACCATGCTCCTCCGCTCTGCGGTAGTGTTGACACCATGTTCCTCTGTACTGTTGACACCATGCTCCGCCGTAGTGTTGACACCATGCTCCACTGTAGTGTTGACACCATGCTCTGCTGTAGTGTTGACACCATGCTTTGCTGTAGTGTTGACACCATGTTCCACTGTAGTGTTGACACCATGCTCTGCCGTAGTGTTGACACCATGCTCCGCCCAAGTAGTGTTGACACCATGCTCCACTGTAGTGTTGACACCATGCTCCGCCGTAGTGCTGTAGTCATCAAGCGCTTATGTTCTTTGTCGACCCATCAACATGTGCCTTCCTCTGAGATGCGTGACTTGTGTACTGCAGGTATTGACTGCTGTATGAAGCTGAACAAGCACGAGGACACCATGACGTGGATAGATGCTGCTCTGCTGGTATCCTTGTACGATATGTATACAACACAGGCTGTAGGACATTAGATGCTGTTATTGGTCTCCGGATGACTCGGACTTAACACAGGCTGTAGTACTGTAGATGCTGTTATTGGTCTCCGGATGACTCGGACTTAACACAGGCTGTAGTACATTAGATGCTGTTATTGGTCTCCGGATGACTCGGACTTCACTGTAAATCATCATATCCAGCAAATTTTGTTCATTTCTGTTTGTCCATTAAATAACCTTGACCTTGTTGAGCTGGAACCGGGGCAGGAAGAACTCCTCAGTATGAGGGCAAAAACTGACAAGCAGCAGGTAAGTACTGGAGGGGATGAGCACAGGCCCTCATGTCTTTGCGAGGGTTAAAGATTTAAAAACAATTTTTTTAAATTTGAGATAACCCCTGACTCGAAATGCTTCACAGTACAGTACATTATGACAGGGCCGAACACTTCGGTGCGCCCCACCTGCCTGCTTTGCCGATCGCTAAGCTGCCATCCCAAGCAATTGATTAAACTGAATGTAACCATAATAATGGATGATTGGCCTATCGATCACCAATCATGACACCTACCAACTCTTTATTGTTATTTCTGCAAGTCGATTGAAACCCGATTTTGACTCTCAACTAAACGATCTTGACACAAATGGATGTACCCTGCTAACAACTGAGGTGTGGTCAAAGCAAGCCCTTTGATTGGTCAATGCATGTAAATCTGCACATTCTTTATAAATTCGTAGGAATTCTTCCTTGCTTGCTGTGTACTATGTTCTGAGTTATGACACCGCAGTGATGGCATCTGTGTAAGGCACAGGACGTGATAAAGACATGTTACGTGTGTGTGTGTGCGTGACTTGATGAAGACGGCCATGTTTCAGAGGGTGAAGGAGCGGGATGAGAGGAAGCAAGCGGCCCAGGACAGGAAAGAGGAGGCTGCAGACAGGAAGCTGATAGCACTGATACAGGTGACATGGCATCACAGGGATGTTGTCCAGCACGACTGTGACCTTATCGATCAAACATCACCCTAGTGATGAAGTTGACATCACTACACTGTAGCACAATAGATCAGTCTGTTGTCATCAATCGAACATCACTAGTCAGTGTGCTTAAGTGTCACTTCAATGTGTTAAAAGTATTGTAATACCACTAGACTGAAATGGTAAATTTTTATGAAAAGCTGTATATCACTAATGAGGGAATACGTACTGACTCAAGTTATGTTGTTGTATGTCTATATAAAGTGTGCAAAACTGATTATTACAACAACAAACATTTCTAACACCATGACAACACTGTTCTCAGTTAATGTGAAAATTCATGGAGAAATTACATTTGATATTTAGTCCTGAGAAGAAGGTTATTTTGCTGAGATAAGAAACCACGATTTAGTCTTCAATAAATCTCTCTTTCAATAAAAGGTAATTGATTTGTCATGAACTTAGCAACACAAAGATATTCTGGGTTTTGTAGGCTAGTCAGACATATTTGGTGGAAGACACAAGTAATATGGGTGGATCGGACATAGTCGTGGTATTACCTGCTTATAACTCAAATGTTTGAAGTCTTGGGATGAGAAACAGAGTAGTTTGAATGGCAGTCGTAAACAATATGCTCCATCAGATCTACCATTGATGACTTTCATGGTGATACAGGATCGTGGCATCCGAGTCGGTGGACTGAGAAGGACAGCGGAGACCGCCAAGCTCAACCCTCTCCTGTTCACAAGTCTGGAGAGCCACAACCCGTCTGGAGCCAAGGTGCATGTAGATGAGAGTGGAACCCTGTTCTGGCCTGTTCTGTTTTTTCTACCCAGAACATGGACAAACAGACTTCATTGAAGCCTTCAATGAGAATGATGTGTAAGTAACTGAAATCAAATAACAAGCTCAAGAGATTTAATGTTGATTATGTTCATGGTGCTATGGGGAAGCCTGATGATTAGGGCCAAACACTTGGTTCAGTTTCTCCACATGTATAAAACCCTCGTCTAGTGCCCCCTGCTGTCATATCGATGGAATAATGATAAAAGAATTGTAAAGAGTAAAACCCTTTTCATTCATTACTGACAAAGACTTTGCAACTATTCACTGAATGAGCAATACCAAAAACCCAGAATTTTCACACCTATGCTCAGGTCACCAGTCTGCTGACTCCTTTAAAATAATTGTAAAGGTTTATAGGGCAACTCGTTTCTAACTCTTACTAAGTTGACATGAATACTATAGAATGATGCTGCTATAGAATGATGCTGCTGTTTTGTATTGTCAGGTTCTATGACCACCTGTGTCACATGTTTGGTCCAGGAGTGGAACCACCACCGTGGGATGAGGACAGAAAGTACACCCCAGACGCTATGGAGGTAAGTATCTAGGATTTGATTGGCTATTGCAGAAATGTGGCGTTTGATTGGAGCAGTGATTAGATATTAAGTACTTGAAACAGTAAGCATGTATTATTACATTACATCATTCCATGGGACATAATACTGTTGGGTAGTTGTTTCCCCTTTGACAAGCTTTGACTTATGGCCATGTTTCATGGATCTTGGCTCTGGGTTGTTAACTCTGATGATTTCATGTCACAATCATATCCCAATTGTGTTTATGGATGCTCATGATGTCAATCACTAGATGTCAATCTCATGTCCAGAATCAAATATTTACAGACCGCTTTGATACAGCCAGAATAGTGTGGTCTTCAACAAGAAACAAACTTATGACAAATAAGTGTGGTGATCTGCTTGCAGAACACTCCTTTGCCGTGTGTTTCCATGGCAGCAAAATCAAACAGTTCTGTCCTTTTGTCCTGAGCAATAAGTGTGGCATAATCATGATCTCTCATGCGCTTCTCTAGACACTTGCCTGGTTTGTCTGAATGTATACTGAACTGAACTCGCTCACACTCATTATTAAACAACAATCTTACACATGTTCTGTTTCAGATGTTCTTCGAGGATCGTGTGAAAGAAGAGCTACATAAAGTCGACCCCTCCTCCTCCCTGTTGCAGACCATGAGGCATGAGAAGTACGTTCATCACCATTTATCTTGCCTCACACATAAATGTCGTTTTCTGATTGGCTGAGCACTCTTCTATTATTTACAATGTACCCTGCTAACAAGCGAGTAACATTTTCTATGTACCCTGCTGGGAATGCCAACTCACTGGTACTTCGTAGCAGTAATTCTTTATCTCGAATAACATTGAATGACGTATGATGTACGGAAATTACCGATGTTTTTGCAATTGCAAATCGATGGAAGGGAGATAACTCTAAATTTGTTTTCTCTTGTTCGGTAAGATAAATACCTTTGGGCTCAGGGAGCATAAACAAACATCGAGGATACATCAGCCCATGTCACCCTCAAGACCAGTGAACAACTTAAAGTGTCCTTAATTCCAGGGATCGGCCCTGAGACAGTGTATCCGAGTGGGGTATCACATCAATGTTGGTCTGCCTGTCGCCATGGCGTCTCTGTGGGTTAGCAGTATAAAACTGACAGTATTCAGGTCCAATATACACAGTAAGAGTAATATCTAGGTCAGGGGCTGTGTATGCAATCACTTTTAACCTAATTTTAGAAAGGATATTTGGTTGCACAGTACCAGACTTTGATGGCTGACATTATGTGTTGCAGGTTTACTGTGAATGCGGGCACCCCCTGTTTTATCCTGCTGGTCGCAGGCTCCAAGTGCTGGACAGATTACCTCAAACGATACAATTATAAAACATGATTCAGGATAATAAAATTTTAAAGCATGAATCTTTGGCCTTTTCAATGGAGCACAGAGAACAGTTTGGGAAGACAAGTCTTTGAATGTCATTTTAGAAGTGAAAGAGTTTGTGGATGTCAACTTCCTTATGATGAGGAACTCTTTGTTTAATTACCCCCTACCCCAGTCAGCGACATTTAGCAGTTGGCATACCTTGTGTAATTAAAGTGTCCATTGCTGTTACCAATCAGTGCTAATTATGTCCACCTTCATCACTCAGCAATATTTAACTGTCAGCAAACATGTTCCAACGTTGTAATTTTTTCACTTTTGTTATTCTTAGATACATAAGTACGTATGTAGGTATATGTATAAAAGTAAGTTGCATCCAAGTATTCGTTCATAGGAAAGAGCAAGCCTGCTGTCCTCTTAGCAAACAACTTGACATCCATGAATTCGATCTTAGTAAAGTAGCGATTCTTGTACTTTTGCTGTTAAGTTCCACACTCTCAGAGTGATGACCTAATCGCCAGCACACATCAGCAATCTTAACCCACTCAGTCACCGTGGCTTCCACAAAAATGGAAGTCTGTGAGTCAGGGGTCCTGATCATGTACTTTTACCCTTTTGACAAGTGTAAATTGGCATGGCAACAGATGATAGCTATGAAGACACAAATACCTTTACGAAAGCGGTCAAATGGAATATTGTTTGTTCATTGTTGCTGTTTGTTATTGTATTATTTATATATTTTTTTCATTTTTTTTTTTTTGGGGGGGGATTACACTTTGCAGAAGTGAATATTCTAGTGCTTTAGGTGGTTGACTCCCAGCCATGATTTGACCCATTGTGAGCCCAAGACTGAATGTTAAATAATTGTCACAGATTGTCTGGATTGTCACTTTAACGTTCGTCAAACGTTCGTGGCCCTATGAATTCTTAACATTGATCATAGCCAATGTGTTAAGAATGGGCTTAAAAAGTTCGTAGGGATACGAACGTTTCGAGAATAGCTAGCCAGCACGTCAGTTAGATAAGGGGTTTCACCGGAACCACCACTTGGACCCAAGACCCTTATCATAATAATATACTCAATGAAAGTTCACAGGTGGCATGTCCCAGCCTGTTGTCTGTAAATAGTTACCAATTTGAAGGGTGAAGAAAATTATCAGGTGAGTTAAGTCATCTTGAGGCTCTTAGCTGAAGGAAAACTCTTATTTTGAATGGATATTGCATAAGAATATTCTTTGATGTAAACGTAGCTTTTGTTTTTTCTTAAGACTCCATTCAAGAAATTTTAGGACTATGGGTCCTGGTATCTACTGAAACAATCTTTGGAAACGCATATTAAATGTTTTTGATATCTGGGAATTTAGCTTGTCAAAAACGACATTGTCACTGTACACATTGTATTAAATCTCCTTCGATGTGTCTGTTTCACTAGCATGGTGTCCCCTATCCCCCTGGTTCTCTGGCCGCCTTGTCAGGTTGGCAGAATGCCTGCCCACAGAACAGAAGGTTGGTGATTTGGGTTGTTTGGGGGATTTTTTTGTTTGTTTAACACCAAACTCTGGAATATTCCAGCTATATGACGTCGGCAAATAATCGAGTCCAGATCAGACAATCCAGTGATCAACACCATCAGCATCGATCTACACCATTGGGATATGACGTGTCAACCAAAACCCTAAACTTCACGGGTGTTGGTCATTTGAACTCCAGACAAATGAGGGGCGGTGGGGTAGCCTGATGGTTAAAGCATTCGCTCGTCACGCCGAAGACCCGGGTTCGATTCCCTACATGGGTACAATGTGTGAAGCCCATTTCTGGTGACTCCCATCGTGATATTGCTGGAATATTGCTAAAAGCGGCGTAAAACTAAACTCACTCACTCACTCCAGACAAATTCAACCCAGGAGTTGTTCAAAGATGTTAAGTACTCGTCAGCTGCCCTGTGCTCGGCATTAGACGATGTGGGTAGGAATGGTGGTGATGGAGTCAGTTTAATACGTCAGAGTGTGATATCCATGTTGAGCTTCAGCATGGTATTTCAGTAGGCTTGCTATTAAATACCGCACTAGTCGGGAATTGTAGAAGCATCTGGAAACACGTAGGTGCGCTCTGATGGATACCATTGTACATGTGCAGTAAATCAGAATGCGACATTGAATCCAATTTCACTTTGCCCCGAACACCTTTCCCTACCCAAAAATTACACAGGCCGAATTTCTGTTGAATGAAAATTCCCCACCTACAGACTGACAGGACGCGATTGAAAGACCTGTTGACAACCGTGTTCAGCTCGATGACCGTCACTCATCTTGAACGAAAACAAACTAAACATGGCTTTTTGAGACCTTGCTTTAGTATCAGAAAAACATCTACGTGTAACAGCAATAAAGAACAGAGAGAAATGTACAGGTGAATGTCCAGTGAAGGGGACATGCAGGCCACAGTATAATTACTTCACAACTATGAGTAGATGCAGCAACACAGTCTGAAGTCACAGCCTCGGTAGACGACAGTGGAAGCGGTTCTGAAACGCCATTAACAGATTCGTCAGATATACATTACGGAACTGTCTCTGATTTGACGACCCTATCCATTCTGTCATTTAGGTCGTCTTCTGTTGATGGGAAATACAAATAAGAAAAAGTGTATGAAAACGTACATCACAACGTCCCTCCATGGCCTGTAAATACGGCTAACATAAACAGGGTCGTAGGTAGCCGTGGGAGGGGGGAATTTTTTACAGACTATTTTTTGTACATCAAAGTATGGATCTAACACTCTCTCAACGTGGATATTGCCCCCTATTAAGAAAAGTTAACAACGTCCCTGATACAGTGTTGTTGTTGATCGTAAGCAACAAATCCAGACACAGCGTGCTTCCAGCTACATGAACTCCATCAGGTTCTCTGGCTATTGAGCGCCCTGATTACATCTCAAAACTGCAATTATGTATCGTTCAGCATTGGTTAAGATCTTGTGGGTGTCTACTCAGTGTCCGGTACAAGCGACTTTCCTAAAATATATTTTCCTAATGCAGCTGTCATATTGCAGGTTTGGGTTTCCCCAGCTCCCTCTCGGCTGCATACAGACACATTCAGATCACATGCTTACTGGTAGTGATAAGGTAGAGTCCCACTTGTTTACTGACCTCAATTAGGTGGAGTCCCACTTGTTTACTGACCTCAATATGGTGGAGTCCCACTTGTTTACTGGCAGTGATAAGGTGGAGTCCCACTTGTTTACTGACCTCGAAAAGGTTGAGTCTTACTTGTTTACTGACCTCAATAAGATGGAGTCCCACTTGTTTACTGACCTCAAAAAGGATGGAGTCCCACATGCTTACTGACCTCAATAAGGTGGAGTCCCACTTGTTTACTGGCAGTGATAAGGTGGAGTCCAACTTGTTTACTTACCTGAATAAGGTGGAGTCCCACTTGTTTACTGACCTCGAAAAGGTTGAGTCTTACTTGTTTACTGACCTCAATAAGGTGGAGTCCCACTTGTTTACTGACCTCAAAAAGGATGGAGTCCCACTTGCTTACTGACCTCAATAAGGTGGAGCCCCACTTGTTTACTGGCAGTGATAAGGTGGAGTCCAACTTGTTTACTGACCTCGAAAAGGTTGAGTCTTACTTGTTTACTGACCTCAATACGGTGGAGTCATACTTGTTTACTGACCTCAGTAAGGTGGAGTCCCACTTGTTTACTGACCTCAGTTTACTTACAGTAGTAAGGTGCCGCCCCCTAGTTTACTTACAGCACTAAGGTACCGCTCCCTAGTTTACTTACAGCACTAAGGCGCCGCCCCCTAGTTTACTTACAGCACTAAGGTGCCACCCAGCTAGTTTACTAAAGCACTAAGGTGCCGCCCCCTAGTTTACTCACAGCACTTTGGTGCCGCCTCGCTAGTTTACTTACAGCAATATGGTGCCGCCCCGCTAGTTTACTTACAGCACTAAGGTGCCGTGCCGCTAGTTTACTTACAGCACTAAAGTGCCGCCCCCTGGTTAACTTACAGCAGTAAGGGGCCGCCCCCTAGTTTACTTACAGCTCTAAGGTGCCGCCCCGCTAGTTTACATACAGCACTAAGGTGCCGCCCCCTAGTTAACTTACAGCAGTAAGGTGCCGCCCCGCTAGTTTACTTACAGCACTAAGGTGCCGCCTCGCTAGTTTACTTACAGTAGTAAGGTGCCGCCCCCTAGTTTACTTACAGCACTAAGGTGCCGCCTCGCTAGTTTACTTACAGCAATATGGTGCCGCCCCCTAGTTTACTTACAGCACTAAGGTGCCGCCTCGCTAGTTTACTTACAGCAATATGGTGCCGCCTCCTAGTTTACTTACAGCACTAAGGTGCCGCCTCGCTAGTTTACTTACAGCAATATGGTGCCGCCCCCTAGTTTACTTACAGCACTAAGGTGCCGCCCCGCTAGTTTACTTACAGTAGTAAGGTGCCGCCTCCTAGTTTACTTACAGCACTAAGGTGCCGCCCCCTAGTTTACTTACAGCACTAAGGTGCCGCCCCGCTAGTTTACTTACAGTAGTAAGGTGCCGCCCTCTAGTTTACTTACAGCTCTGAGGTGCCGCCCCATAGTTTACTTACAGCAATAAGGTGGAGTCCCAGTGGTTCTGAGGAAGAAAGTGCCGTGGAGGTTGGGGTCGGCGAAGTAGCCCATGCGTGAGCAGGGCGTGGCGTCGCTGCAGCTGCACTTCCCTGCCTTAAAGTCGTCCCAGTTGGCGCAGGGTACGGCCGTGTAATGGCACAGGGTGAGGGAGGACCAGAACATGTCGTATGCGCGGCTGTGGCTGCACGCGGCGCCGTTGATGAACCCTTGGGGAAAACAGGACAGTTTCAGAAGGAAGGTCGTAAACAGTTTACAGTATGTCAGTAATAATGCAGGCCATAGACGCTTAACTCCTCGATAAAACCGTGCTAACACGAATAGAGAGTGGGTGAGTTTAGTTTTATGCCGCCCTCGTCAATAATCCAGCAGTATGGCGATGGTCTGTAAATAATCGAGTCCAGATAATCCAGTGATCAACAGCATGAGCATCTATCAACGCAATTGGGATACCATGACATGTGTCGACCAAGTCAGCGAGCCTGACCAGCCGATCTCGTTAATCGCCCCTTAGGACACGCATAGGTTACTGAAGATCACTTCTAACCCAGATCTTCACGGGTCCACAAATAAAGAAATGATCAAAGCGACCCGGGATTCGAACCCATGGTTGGAGGTTACATACCTTTAATACCGCCTGTCACCAACGAAAACAGGTGATCGCCGAAGTTCTTGGGGCATCCCTCCTGGTCGGACCCACCGGCAGGGTAGAAGTCGGCGTGGCCCATCCGTCGCATCATACCAAAGCCTTGAACACAATCCACCCAGTCAGTTCAATAGTTGAAGCTAGACCCCTACAAAATGCCGGGTGATAAACGATGGTGATGGAGATGAATGAGGGATGGTGTAGTATCACCACTTTCTATTCCAGCAATGTTATCGTAGAGGTCGGAAAAAATGGACATCACACATATGGGGAATCGAGTCGTGCCGAACACCCCGGTGATCCTTATGATTATTAAAGTGAGTGAGTGCGTTTAGGTTTACGCCGCTTTTAGCAATATTCCAGCAATATTCGGCGGGGGACACCAGATGTCGGACGCCATCTGTGTTTGAAATCAAGGACAGAGTGAATCTCAAATATTAAGTAGCATATATAGATGTTTTGTTTTATTGTTTTAACACCACAGACAGTAATATTCCAGCTAAATGTGAATAATAACAGTCTGTGAATAATCGGGTTGGGATACGATGACATGCATCAACGAAGTCTGCGACGCTCATCATCAGATCCCTTTACTCAATTTTTCCGACAAACATGGGTTGCTGAAGATCAGATCTAACCCGGATCTTCACGTACCGACTCCCGGTTATTGACTGCCATGTTATACGTGTTGTGTGTCATCACACTATCATCTACTGATTTGCCTGCCATTATCCCTCATGACACTGTCATAGTGCACTATGTTCAAGGATTCGGCAGGTCGTTATTCTCAATGGCCATGCAAGCGAAACGATCGAACACGACGTGAACGAGCATCTGTTCAAGGTTCTGTATCGTCGTGCAAAACGCTTCCTGTTTGTGAGGTGAGGTCAAATTGGGTTTAACGTCGTGCTTGAGAATATTTCGCTCATATGACGACGTGCATGCGTGTGTATGTGTATGTACGGCTGCTTGTACTAGCCCAGACTAAAGCTGGTTTTATAGTGCTAGCCCACTGAGATACCATGTCGCAGTGAAGCATGAATACCCCACTCAGACACATTATACTGACTCCGAGCCAACCAGTCCTTGTTGTACCTATTAATGCCGAGCGCCAGGCAGGGACCAACAAGTACCATATTTTAACGTCTTTTGGTATGACGCGGTCAGGGATCGAACCCGCGACCTTCCGCTCTCCGGGCGGACGCTCTAACCACTACACCTGGGAGACGGTCTCGTGTTTGTGGTCCACGTGGCGTGAACCGTTAGGGAGCGATATGAGGCTCTAGCGAACTGCCTTAATCTATACATGCCGCTTGTACAGATACCCACCCAACTTTGACAGATGTTCTGCATCCGTGTGCATGATGTCCACGAACTGGGCGTCCGTCTTGTCCAGTCTAATGTCGCAGTTATCCTTGTCAAACGAGGGGCCTGCCGGATCCATGCCTGGGAACATAGACTCTTTCTGTGACCAATCTCGCACGCTAAACTTATACTTTCTGGAATCAAGGATACCAATAGTGCGCAGTCAAACAAACTAACAGGGAACGCTGCCGTTGAGTGTAGTCCAGAACCTATGGTACCTTCGTATGCGTTTCCAGGTCAGTGGGCAAGAATTTAGCCTAAGCTTTTGGAACCCCCCCTTGTTCAGCCTTGATTTGGAACTAGCTGAGGGTGTTGTCGGTGTGACCTTTCCGTACTTACATTCAGTGTTAAATTGGCCCCTTCCACAAATAAGTTCAGTCTGCAAGAACAGTTCTTGCGTTTCCAAATTAAATGATGCCCCGAAAGTATATTAACAATTCATTTGGCTGTCATTATATCAAAGGCAATTGGTTTCGCACGAATGAAATGTCGGCACTATGAAGCGATGCTACTTCCTGTACACATTGAATCACGGTCACGTTTGAGGTGTACCTGTGATTCACACTTGAGGTGTACCTGTAATTCACATTTGAGGAGTACCTGTAATTCACATTTGAGGTGTAACTGTAATTCACACTTGAGGTGTACCTGTAATTCAAATTTGAGGAGTACCTGTAATTCACATTTGAGGTTCACCTGTAATTCACATTTGAGGTGTACCTTTAATTCACATTTGAGGTGTACCTGTAACTCACGTTTGAGGTGTACCTGTAATTCACATTTGAGGTGTACCTGTAATTCACATTTGAGGTGTACCTGTAATTCACATTTGAGGTGTACCTGTTATTCACATTTGAGGTGTACCTGTAATTCACGCCTGAGGAGTACCTGTAATTCACATTTGAGGTGTACCTGTAATCTACATTTGAGGTGTACCTGTAATTCACATTGAGGAGTACCTGTAATTCACATTTGACGTGTACCTGTAATTCGCCCAAGCTGTCCACCCAGCAGCTGACCCACTTGTCCGCTGATGTGAGCGCCGAGGCTGTGGCCGATGATGTGGATGTCACCGTATGATGTGCCGATTTCGTTCAACGCCTTTATGAACAGTGACAGCATGGATGCCACGAGTCTTGTGTTGGAGGCAGCTTGGTCGTATATCTTGGGGGATGCGCCTTCTTGCCAGTTTACACGGAACACATTGAAATCACCCTGTACAGATAAAAACATTAATAGCTAAGATAATTATGTTGAAGCCGACGACATACATACATATTGTAATGTTCAAGCTCGTCATGTGTTTATCTTGTGCCAATGTATAAATTGACGACGTGGGTCAATATTTTAATGGTCAAGATGTTGACATTCAGCACTATACCACAGAATGCCCGAACTGATGAGCCGAATGTGATTACAAGTAAATAGTGCAAGAATATCATTCAGGTGACAAAGCAATAAAGCAATAATATACTTTAGGTGACAAGGAGAGAAATGCAAGAATATTATTTAGGTGACAAGGAGAGAAATGCAAGAATATTATTTAGGTGACAAGGAGAGAAATGCAAGAATATTACTTAGGTGATAAGGAGAGAAATGCAAGAATATTATTTAGGTGACAAGGAGAGAAATGCAAGAATATAATTTAGGTGACAAGGAGAGAAATGCAAGAATATTATTTAGGTGACAAGGAGAGAAATGCAAGAATATTATTTAGGTGACAAGGAGAGAAATGCAAGAATATTACGTAGGTGATAAGGAGAGAAATGCAAGAATATTATTTAGGTGACAAGGAGAGAAATGCAAGAATATTATTTAGGTGACAAGGAGAGAAATGCAAGAATATTATTTAGGTGACAAGGAGAGAAATGCAAGAATATTATTTAGATGACAATGAAATAGTGCAAGAATATCACATACGTGACATGGCCATAATGCAAGAAACTCATTTAGATGATAAGGAGATAATGGAAGAGTATCACTTCGTTAACAAAACAGTATGTAATAATATCAGGTAAATGACAAAGAGATAACACATGAATACCATTTTGGTGACAAGGGGATAATGCAAGAATATTATTTTCGTGACAAGGGGATAATGCAAGAATACCATTTAGATAACAAGGAAATAAAGCAAGAATATTATGCTGGTGACAAGGGGAAAATGCAAGAATATTATGTTGGTGACGAGGAGATAATGCAAGAATACCATTTTGGTGACAAGGAGATAATGCAAGAATATTATGCTGGTGACGAGGGGAAAATGCAAGAATACCATTTTGGTGACAAGGAGATAATACAAGAATACCATTTAGGTGACAGGGAAAAAATGCAAGAATATTACGCTGGTGACGAGGAGATAATGCAAGAATACCACTTAGGTGACAAGAAGATAACGGGAAAATGCCATGTATGTACAAGGAGATAATGCGAAAACAACATTTAGGTGACAAGAAGATAAGGGTAGAATACCAGTCAGGTAAGGAGATAATCAGATTATGATGAAGGAGCAACCATACACTCCGAAACGTCGTGTTATTCACAATACAGAAGTTGACGTCCATAATCTTGCTTTTCTTATGCATTCCACTTCTAAATGGCCTTCAAGGATTTGAAGGGATGTTACATTCAGTACAGGAACATAATGGAAGAATGCCATCTACGTGATATGGAAACAATGCTATAATATTAAGGACAGGTGGACTCTCACTATTTCAAGCAATGTGCGCTCTATGTTAGCCACCCATTCCGAGAGACAGTCGTCAGTGTAGCCGTGAATGATGAAGTAGGTGCGTTTCCCGGCGGTGTAGTGACTGTTGGAGATGCTGAATATGTTGCCTGCGTTGTCGGTGTTGGTGTCGATGTTGATCCACTGAGGGTAGTACCTGTTGTTCCGGGTGTAGAGGGCAAGCTGTAGTCCCTGCTCATCGGGTGACTGGGGAATACAACCCTTCGTGTTGTCATACGGATATTCGTTGCCGAAACAGCCGAACTCCCCGAAACATTCCCACTTCTTCTTCGACCCGAAAAACCAACCTGAAACATCGCGTTCATTTATTGTATGAATGCTGTTTAATGCCTCAATATTCCAGTAGCCTAGTGGTTAAAGTTCGCTCGTCAAGCCGAAGAGAGGGGTTCTATTCCCCACAATGTGTGAAGCCCATTTCTGGTGTACCCCGCCATGATATTGCTGGAATATTGCTAAAAGCGGCGTAAAAACTAAACTTACTCACTCACACAGTCCAACTATAGGGCGGTTGTCATCAAATTACTCAACTGGGCAAACCAATGACTGAACAGTAAGCAAAGATGCATATTACCTGGGCACAATGACGTGCATTCAACAATGCAGACTAACGCTTAGTCTCTGATTATATATGACTATCTGCTAAAAACGGATGGGGTCCCCATATGTCTCTCCTGCGATGAGGCTTTCACCGTCAAACATATTCTGCTTTAAAGTGTGTGTGTGGACTTTACATCTGCAAGGGACTCGCATTATCACGCAACCAATCTGAAAGATCTGTTCTCCAGCGTGAACGCTCATCTGATACTGAACTGACTGACTGACTGAGTTTGGTTTTACGCCGCTTTTAGCAATATTCCAGCAACATCACGGCGGGGGACACCAGAAATGGGCTTCACACATTGTACCCAGATACTGAACTACCTGAGGAAAGTTGATCTATATCATAAATTGTAACTGTGTAATGTCACGAACGAATTTACCTGCTTTTCAATTTAGTGCTATGACATTCTGTTCCAAAATGACAATGTAATGAATGTGTGTCTTTGAAACGAAACCACTTTGTACTGACAATGTATATTAATGCAGACTTGTTCTCGTCACTATATGGCTGGAATAATGCCGATGTGACGTAAAGCCCAACTCAACTCAACTCAACTCAACTCAACTCTGATTATATATCATATTATAATAAACCCATTTATATTGAAAAGGAGCCCTAGGCAGACCAGATATTCATGAACCTCGAGAAATCTAGATTTGCTTCATTTAGGGCTTTGGCACTGCAGGGAGGGCTTGGCTGCAGGGAAAATATAATGTGGTTCAGGGACTGTGAGACAGACAATTAATCACACCACAGAACCTGAACCTTATCTTAATCGTCTCCTACAGGCAAGAACCGGGATTCTAGTCTGACCCAAAATACTCAGAGGGACATTTCATAGTACCAATGATTTATGAGTGAGTGAGTGAGTTTAGTTTTACGCCGCACTCAGCAATATTCCAGCTACATGGCGGCGGTCTGTAAATAATCGAGTCTGAACCAGACAATCCAGTGATCAACAGCATGAGCATCGATCTGCGCAATTGGGAACCGATGACATGTGTCAACCAAGTCAGCGAGCCTGACCACCCGATCCCGTTAGTCGCCTCTTACGACAAGCATAGTCGCCTTTTATGGCAAGCACATGGGTTGCTGAAGATCTATTCTACCCCGGCATCTTCACGGGTCAATGATTTATGAAAACTAAAACTCTGCTATCGATCAAAGAAGACACTGAACTCGTTAATTGATCTTCGTTTCCCTTATATCGTTTTGCATTTAACGTCGGCCTGGGTTTAACACATCCTCGATAATCTCCAGGGTATACGTTACGATCACTCTGCACTATACCCTGGAGATTATCGAGGATGGGTTTAACACCGTTATGTATTTCTGAAAAATAGGCAACTTTCACAATGCAATATTTCAAAGACACAGTGTTTCCCATAAGTGAAATACAATCATGTTAAGTTCAACTGTTTAGCTTGGTTAATAATGATTGTTCCGATAAAGCGGTATTATTGCGGTATTGTTCCGATAAAGCGGTATTATTGCGGGCTAGCCGTAAAACAACACCCTCCCATTGATTTCGTGAAGTAGCTCTAATAAGAACCCATCTACTTTATTCATACAGAGACGCGCAAGCGCACGCACACACACTCTCTCCATTTCTGGTGTGATGTAATTCAAAACTTACGTCACAATAAGATTTGATTGACGTTAACAATGACGCCTACGTCCTGATGACGTACACAATATATACTGGTGTGTGTAAAAGTGATATCTGTTGCACATACGATGTTATGACGTCGGATATTAAATTACTAGCCCTAACGGTAAACAACAAGTTTCCCTTGTGGTCGACATAGAATTCACTGTCGAAGTGCAAACAGGGTCAACAAGCAAGTGACGTAATATCAATCTATATACTGAGTCAAAAAAACTTCACATTCTTTCTTCGGGGCACTATAAAAGAACAAGAGATGGTAAGATGGTTAAATTGTTATTATTTCATTGCTGAGATCTGTGTGATGTACTCGATACACTGACAGTGCCATAATCAGTTTCATTAGGCTACACCGCCGTTCCAAAACATGGGTATACGACATGGGTATACAACATGGGGAATGTCAAGTCACAAGAATAAAAATGCGAAAGTTCTCAGTTCAATATCGTGTATGGCCGCCCCGCGCATCGACCACTGCCAAACACCGTCTCCTCCTCGACTGCCTGATGCTTGTGAACACGTGGTTGGGGATTCTGCGTCAGTGCTCTTGCAAGGCAGCGCCAAGTTCCTGCAAATTCTGAGGCTGGTTCCTAAGACCGCAGCCTTCTCCCAAGTGCATCCCAAACGTGCTCTATTGGATTAAGGTCAGGGGACCTCGAAGGCCAGTCCATGACGTTGATTCCAGCGTTTTGAAGGAAATTTCGTGTCAACATCGCGGTATGCTGGAACTGTAGACCTGGGCCATGAGCCGTCATGAAAGATACGAGTTCAGGGGTGAGCACCTGGTCGCGGTAAGCAGCAGCTGTGGGGTTTCCACGGATGACCAGAAGTCGGGAACGGTTGTTCCCACAGAAAGCCCCCCCACACCATGCAACTTCCGCCCCCGAATCTGTCGACTTCCTGTACACTACATTGGGCATACCGTTCACGACGTCGTCTCCAGACTCTATGCCTGCCGTCAGCGAATCTGAGGGTAAACCTGGATTCATCGCTAAAGACGACTCGATTCCAGTCTCTCGGGGTCCATCGGAGGTGACGTTGGACCCACAGCAGACGTTGACGTTGATGAAACGGCGTCAATATTGGCCCACGATATGGACGTCGATAATGGAGATTGGCAGCCCGCAACCGATTTTGAATGGTCTGTGAGGACAGTCGACCTCTAAACATCTCAGCCCTACGTAGGTGACGTAGGACGATTTGACGGTCTTCTGCTCGTGACGTCACACGTGGACGACCGGACCTTGGGAGATCAGAAGTGGTGCCAGTTTGTTGTAGACGACCTCGCAAGTCATACACAGTACGACGGCTACACCCCATTGCTCTTGCGACGTCAATAACTGATCTTCCCGCTTGCAACATGCCAACGGCACGTTCACGTTGCAAATTTGATAATCGTGGAATTTCAAGTACCGTTAGAACTGTGGTTTAAAAGTGTTTTTTTTCAATTCTTGAGGCCAATGCAAACACGTGCATATGAAGAAAACTTCGATGCGAAGATCACGTGATCGACTGCACGTGCAAAACCTGATTTGGCACTAACATCATTTGCACGACGAATGGATGGGTTTGAGTGGGTTTTGCTAACGTTTTTCTAGAGTCGAAAGATAGGGATCCCATTTCGGATACATAGATGTATTATCAGAGAAAGATTATTCATTATTTTTCAAATTACATTTTGTGAAGTTTCTTTTTTGACTCAGTATATATTGTGTATTCAAAACAGATCAGGGAGATCTTCAATCAAAGAAGAGCTACGGGCTTTCGGTTCTTTTATAATATCATGTTGCCTTTAATTTCGGGTCTGCTTAACCGGTATGCATGTATGAAATACAGTTTAAGTCACGATGTAATATTTCAAGAGTATCGCAACAATGTCTCTTAAAATTGAAGGACTTTTTAGGGTTACTGTTGTAATAGTGGAAGCTGGAATAAAGCTGCCATATTGATGACCTTTCCTATCCACCGCGGTGACAATTAAGAACTATGATGGCTAATGACTATAGTAATGTAGCTGCACAATGATGATGTAGTTTATACAGGGATCACCAAGCTTTGATAGTCTAATAAAAACGAGACATGCGATTGACATGTAGGCCGCCATTAGTGTGTGTTGAGATACTGTTTTCCGACAAATAAGTACATTGGGTCTCGGATACAACCAGACTTATCATCACTAAAACGACCGTTTAAATTACAAATGAATATGCGCCGACTCACTCGAGTCGTCAAAATAACTAAGAGTAACCAACTCACGGCATTCTACTGTTGTACGATCCGTCGTTCGACAAGTCTGTCAAATCAACATTGACACAAGTACCTGAACTTCTAATATAATTTCGAATGGATCTCAAAAGAATATATTGACCATATTAATATTGCAACTGTCATTTCAAAATGTATTCCTGGAAACTAATCAATCATCTTTGTTGTTGACAAAACGACGATACACATTCTCCTCCCAGTGACACAATACGAGGCGGGACGGTACCGAGCACTGTTGGTGTAATTACAGTATGATAGGGACGACCTTGTGGAACTTTCAGGAATACAATTGTGAAAGTGCTTTCGAAACATTTATTAATATCATAACTGGGGCACTACAGACATATTGCAAAGAACGATGTAAATGTGATTCGCACGGCACATTTACCTAATATGTATTACCGTTTAGGTGATTGACACCTCAAAGAGGCGCTAAGCAAATGTCAGAGGTGCAAAGTGGGGCATCTCACACGACTCGATGAATTTCCATAAACCGTATAACCAATATGTATAGGGTTAACACTGTGCCCTACTGTATGAAACTGACATGAACGCATTACGCTCAGTTCACTGGCACCTACTTCAGACGCGCAATTGTCAAGAACTGTATTATACAATACAATGTGACACATAAACCTGTCTCCTCGGCAGTCTGATCAAGTTTACACACATTTTCCGGTATGAACTTTATGACGATTATTTCACACAACCTTTCCAGTACTAACTTTCCTAATATTTGGTTAATAATTGCAGATTAATTTCAAAATGTGAGGTTAAATTGCCAATCTTTTATAATTTGCGGACAAAGAAACAAATAGAGAACTTCAACTACTGTGTCTTAACATTGACTGAATCAGCAATTTCGTTCAACCAATGGTGCGGTATCTCAGTGTATAGTACTTTCTTAAGCTGAATATGAAACATCCAGTTCCGTACAGATCTCTCTGACACATTCTGACGTGTTAGTAGTATACCTTCTAACGTATAGTCTGTGCAGAACGTTTTAACATATTGTGGCATGTTAGTTGTAAATTCTCTAACAAACACTACACGCCAAAAGAAACGTTACCCTCCTACCTTTATGAAATACTTATCATCATATCAGAGATATGTTAGTCGGTATTAGTTTACAAGAAAGCTTAACAACACAGCTTTATGCAAATCACGAACACAAATTCTCAAATGCGTTCATATTTAGATGAAATGCATCGTTTTCAGAAGAGTTAAATTGTCCTATTTCCGACCATGCCAAAATAAACCAATAACAATGATTTAGATGTCCAAAAGAAAAGTTGAAATACAATTCTGCTTTGAGACAAAGAGTCGCCACCCCTTTTCAACCTCTAAAACAAGAAACAACTGTTGTAAAGAGTATAAAATTGTAAAAGAATCATTCCTATGATTTCAGTGTTTTAAAACATTTCCTGCTGATTTGCACTAGTGAAAACAAGTAAAACGTGTCTTTGATACTGTGAAAAAGTGTTTAGGAACCTATAAAATTATCCATACCGAAATAAACCAATAAGTTGCAATAACTGTGATTTAGATGTCCAAAAGAAAGGTTAAAATAAAATTCTGCTTTAAGACAAAGTTAAAACATTACAGTCACCATTTTCAACTATTAAAACAAGAAATAACTGTTGTAGAGTGTGTAAAATTGTAAAAGAATCATTCCTATGATTTCAGTCTTTTAAAACATTTTCTGCTGATTTGCATTAGTGATAGAATATTGTGAAAAAAGTGTTTAGGAACACCTAAAATTATTTTTGCTTGTAAAGTAATATTTTTTCCATTTTCTGTTTACACATAGTAATATCAATCGCCAAAACGGAGCAATATGCATGCAGTATTTGCATCAATTTCACGTGTAGAATTTTTCTATAGGGTATAGAGAGAGCCAATAATGCATGATATGATACACAAGTACGACACATATGCCACACTTAACAGCTGAAGAGAGAGAAAGAGCCATTGGGATGTTGCAGATGGGGTCGACTTACAATGCTGTTGGCAACGCCCTCGGATGCAACTATATCACGGTTATAGGACTTATTGAGCGCTAAAGACAGACTGGGGTCAGTGTAGACAGAACAAGAAGTGGATGTCCACGCATCACAACGCCATCTGAAGCTATGTTCCTCCGTCATTAGGAAGGAGGGTAACGTTTCTTTTGGCGTTTATAGTGTATATGCCTTCTACACAATGTGTAACGCTTTAGTTGAGTATTTTCACTACTCTCTTACTAGCTAGAAATAGAGACATGTGTTTAAAAAAACGTTCGTCCCTTCATGCACCTACCCTCTAAGCCTACTCTCACCGATGACCCAAGAGCCCAATCTCTGCACTTCCCTAGAGCCCAATATCTGTACTCTCACCGATGACCCAAGAGCCCGATCTCTGCACTGCCCTAAAGCTAAAACTCATCAGTACCCAAGAGCCCGATCTCTGCACGACCCCTAAGCTCGATCCGTGCACTACTCTGGAGTCCGATCTTCACACTATCCTCGAGTCCGATCACTGCACTACCTTCAAATCCGATCTGTTGACTACCGATCTATGGTGTATCCTCAAGCCCGATCTCTGCACTGCCCTCAAGCCCGATCTCTGCCACTAACCTAGAGCCCGATCTCTTGCTTATCCCAGTGCCCGATCTGCCGAATACCCTTTCGCCAAAACTGTCCACGACCCTATTTCCCGACCTTCTCACAACCCTAGTGCTCACTACCTTATCTGTCAAAGATTCTCATGCGTTGTGCGCCCGTAAGCCTAATTCCCAATCCATGGACCTATATCTTAAATCTCAATAAAACAATTAAAGCGTCACGGATAGCACCTACACACATATCGCGCTGATACGAAACTCATCTTTGCGTATGGAAGCCAGATTCTCAATATTGTTTCTCGGTTTGTTTACCCATGTTCTGGGGTCTTTACCAATGTTCGTCCTTCCCACATCATGATGGCATGCTGTGATTTAATCTGAGCAAATGCAGCAAGGGTGTAGGTCTTACCGTCAGTCACGGCGCAGAGAACACACAGCAGGAGTACGACTCTCATCGTGAAAACCAGCTCTTGGTGGCAAAAGGGACGTCTTCGTCAGCGATCTCTCCACCAGTAGGTGGTACGACTTGATCGACTTGCATTTTAAACCCTTTTGCATGGCCAGATCCACCAATCAGAAGTAGTCTTGCCCAGGTAACTACCCACCAATAGGCAACCAGGGAACGGGTATGATCGCTAAAAGTCACTGATTGTTTGGTGCTGAATAAACTTAGACTGGTGCTGTAGTAACAGATACGATCTCGAACAGGCACATGAGTGCGTGTAGAGAACTAGTGGAAGAGTTCACACATATTCCGTTGTAAATTATTTGCACAATACATTTATTTCAATGCTAATCGCATTAATTATATGCTAGCATGAAAACAGCCGCTCAACCACAACGTGAAGGTTTACACCGCCCATAACCTGCCTACATTCCACATAACGTTCCTACACCATCCACAAAACTGTGCAGCACACCACTCATAACACAATCTTCTGTCTATCAGCACACCACTCATAACACAATCTTCTGTCTGTCAGCACATCACTCATAACACAATCTTCTGTCTATCAGCATACCACTCATAACACAATCTTCTGTCTGTCAGCACACACACTCATAACACAATCGTCTGTCTGTCAGCACACCACTCATAACACAATCTTCTATCAGTACACCACTCATAACACAATCTTCTGTCTGTCAGCACACCACTCATAACACAATCTTCTATCAGCACATCACTCATAACACAATCTTCTGTCTATCAGAACATCACTCATAACACAATCGTCTGTCTGTCAGCACACCACTCATAACACAATCGTCTGTCTGTCAGCACACCACTCATAACACAACCTTCTGTCTATCAGCACACCACTCATAACACCATCTTCTGTCTGTCAGTATACCAGTCATAACACAATCTTCTGTCTGTCAGCACACCACTCATAACACAATCTTCTGTCTATCAGCATACCACTCATAACACAATCGTCTGTCTATCAGCACATCACTCATAACACAATCTTCTATCAGCACACCACTCATAACACAATCTTCTGTCAGCACACCACTCATATCACAATCTTCTATCAGCACACCACTCATAACACAATCTTCTATCTATCAGCATACCACTCATAACACAATCGTCTGTCAGCAGCACACCACTCATAACACAATCTTCTGTCTGTCAGCACACCACTCATAACACAATCTTCTGTCTATCAGCACACCACTCATAACACAATCTTCTGTCTGTCAGCACACCACTCATAACACAATCTTCTGTCTGTCTATCAGCATAACACAATCTTCTGTAACACATAACACAATCTTCTGTCTATCAGCACACCACTCATAACACAATCTTCTGTCTGTCAGCACACCACTCATAACACAATCTTCTGTCTATCAGCACACCACTCATAACACAATCGTCTGTCTATCAGCACACCACTCATAACACAATCGTCTGTCTATCAGCACACCACTCATAACACAATCTTCTGTCTGTCAGCACACCACTCATAACACAATCGTCTGTCTATCAGCACACCACTCATAACACAATCTTCTGTCTATCAGCACACCACTCATAACACAATCTTCTGTCTATCAGCACACCACTCATAACACAATCTTCTGTCTATCAGCACACCACTCATAACACAATCTTCTGTTTGTCAGTACACCACTCATAACACAATCTTCTGTTTGTCAGCACATGACAACGTGGCTACATATGACACATTGCCTAGGGATCACCAAAAACGTCTACATACACAACATTCGACAGCATGGATACACTATCCATAACTTGTGTTCACATCATGTGCTAATATACACCTTCCATAATTTACCTCAGCGGGGATCAGAACCGTAGCGTTCTGTGAGTGAGTGTGATATTTTAGCAATATTCCACAATATCACGGCTGGGGACACCAGAAATGCGCTTCACACAATCGAACCCGTGTCTTCGGCGTGACGTGCGTAGCGTTCTGTGAACCACTCTGAAGCACATGCTTGCAATAGCTATCACTGACATTTATGCAGGTATCCACGAAAACCGTTATGAAAGCAGATATACATAAAATAATACACCTGTTTGAAACGACCTTTATTGAGAGTTGTTATTTGGAAGGTGTTCATTACACACGCAAGTAGTTGCATCATAGGAAATGGTAAACCAAGAATAATGGACGACTCATTCCGTCATTCATTCTTGTAGGGTCAAGCAGTACTGTCGTGAAGTCATGTTTCCACGAACTGCGGCAGTGGGCAGTCGAGTCCGAGTATGTAATCCACGGTGTGGTCCACACTAGTGAGGGGAACATTCAAGTCCCCACGGGTACCCATGTAACATTTCCTTCCAAAAGCAACCGGGTCATGCTGTTGCCCCTTTACCCACCTCAGTGATCCAGCTACGTTACGAGGCCATGGCCTGCTTGTGGAACATGTATCAGAGCGATTATCTGAATCCACATCCACATCACTGTCGATGCTCGATTCAGATGGCGACTCAGTATCGTCATGGACCACCACAACGTCATTCTCATTAACGTCGTGTTCATCTACAGAGAATGCTTCCATTAGTCGAGACTCTTCCACAATTGAATCCAGTTCACATATCACTGATCTGTACTCATCCGGGAACATGTCGTCTGCAATGAAGGATCCGTTACCCATGGTAACTACAATTAGAGCCATTGATGTGGCCTCGGCGAGGTCAAGGTCACGCGACAACTGCTCAATAGGACAAGGGACGGGTCGAGAGCAATCAGAAGAGCTTGCCAAAGTGTCCTTTCTCACCTCGGTAATTACATCGATAAGTTGATCCTGAACGCACATGTGCTCAGTTGTTGTCCGGTGAGTTGCATCTGACACAGAAAAACCTCCCCACTCAGCAGATGAACAGGTCAGAGCCACAGGCTTGTATTCATCAGGAAGGTAGACAGATGGAACTAGTTGCTTCCAATCATTAGCAGAGCAGCCTGGTGGAGCCGCACATTCCCACTTTGTAAAAGGGTAGATGCATGGAGCCACACTCTCCCCCTCGGTGGGTGGGCAGGCGGGAGTAGGGTATATGGGTGGAGCCATACGCTCCCGTTCAGAAGGGTAAATGGATGGAGCCATGCGCTCCCACCCAGAAGACGGGTAAACGGGTGGAGCCTTCCATTGCTGACTAATAGTGGTGCCTTCAGTAGGCTGTTGGGGTGTCAGGGGAAGAACAAGAGCATCTTCTCCAGGAGAAATTCCATGATAGTATGGCTGTACTTTGACAGGGAGAAAATTCCTCTCAAAACCACATGTGTCGGAGCCGTAGCCTGACTTTACTGAAAACACGTTTCTATTTTCGAACTCAACTGCCTTTTCCTGGTGTGTTTGAATAGGGTGATATGTTGAGGCCTTGTTTCGTCCCTCGAAAAACTGAATGGCTGCCCCTTGCTGGTTTACTGGTACAAAGGTCGGCACGGTGGGTCTGGTATGTGGAATCTGGTTAAAGATCCGATTTGGACTAACCACCAGCTGTCCCTGGTGAGAGATTATTTGTTGATTCGATGAAAGTTTGTGAATGGTGAAGGGATCTGACTTCTGGTAGGGTTTTAGCCTCCGGAAACCCCTCCTAGGTGGCAATGCAGTCTGTACCGGATTATTGATGCTTGTGGCTACGGTTGGTGGAACGGAAGCTGGGGGATCAGCTAAATGCAGATGTTTCAGCATACCCATCGGTGATGCGACATGTATCCCTGGACTGATCGTCTGGCTGATCCTCGTAGATTTTCGGCTGATTCGAGTGTTCCTGGGCCTCGTGGGCTGAGAGGGTTCAAACAACCGGAAAGGATTCACTTCATTCTTCTTCTTTCTGTCCTTGCACGCCTGCTGGGGCTTCTTCGACCAAGGAAGCTGGTAGACGGGATTGTCAGATACATAGCGAGGACTGACTGTTGGCTGCTGTCGGCTTGGCAGGGAGATAGATTCTAGAGGTATTCTCATGGGAACAATAACAGAGTTTGTTCTGACGTCAACAGGACACAGCTGGTCGTTGAACATAACTTGTGGCAAAGGGTTCATGTCTGCAACATAACAAAAATATTATACATGTACGTCAATTCTTACAGACAGCAACTTGACACATAAACATACAAATGACACGGTGTGTTAGATTACTTTATTTGGTTTTCCTTGGGAATGGGAACAAAGTAATCACGGACTGCTTGTTTGTCTGTTTGCCCTCTGTGTAATAGAAACTACTATGTACTACTACTTGTCATGTCTGTGTTATATGTCTTATATTCAGTCTACCGGCCCCGTCACCAAAATGTATAAAATCATTGTGATCTTCATATGCCTTTGTCTTACGGCTTGAAAAGCCATAAAGTTTGTTCTGCCCATGCCTGTACGCGCTTAATCATACTTGACTGAGTTGGTTCGATGACGCTTTGAGTCGTCCGGTTGTACACGAGCGATGTAAGGAAATACACTAAACGCCAAAAGATAAGTTACCCTCCTAAATTTATGAATTTCTTAAAAGGTTTACGAGAAAGCGTAACAACATAGCTTAATGCAAATCACGAAAAAGAATTCTCAAATGCATTCATATTTAGGTGAAAAGCATCTTTTTCAGAAGAGTGAAAATGTCCTATTTTCGACCATGCTGAAATAAACCAATAAGTTGCAACAACTGTGATTTAGATGTCCAAAAGAAAGGTTGAAATAAAATTCTGCTTTAAGACAAAGATAAACCATTTAAAGTCACCATTTTTCAACTATTAAAACAAGAAACAACTGTTGTAGAGTGTGTAAAATTGTAAAAGAATCATTCCTATGACTTCAGTCTGTTAAAACATTTTCTGCTGATTTGCATTGGTGAAAGCATGTTGTGAAAAAGTGTTTAGGAACACCTTAACTTAACTTTGTTAACATTTTTACTTGCAAAGTAACATTTTTTTCCAGTTTCTGTTTACACATGGCAATATCAATCGTAGCAATATTCCTGCAGTATTTGCATCAATTTCACGTGTAGAATTATTCTATCGGGAATGAAGATAGCCTGGAATGCATGATAAGTACATGAAATATACCACGATTAACAGCTGAAGAGAGAGAAAGAGAAGGGATGGCGCAGATGGGGTCGACTACAATACTGTTGCCAACGTCACCGGGTGCCACCGTATCACGGTTATAGGACTTGTTCAGAGCTACAGACAGACGGGACTCACCGTAGACAGACCAAGTAGTGGACGTCCACGCATCACAATGCAGCAGAAAGTTTCACCATCACTTAAGTAGATTTTAAGAAATTCATTAAGAAAGGAGGGTAGCGTTTCTTTTGGCCTTTAGCGTAGTTGACAGCAGGGACACTGACTACGATAACCTACTACAAGTCATGTCAGAGTTCGATCCGCTCGAGTCGACTCCTGCGACAAGCATGAATAACTAATGACCCAAGAATCCCGTCTGAGTTCGAACCCTCAGACCCTAGTAATGTACCATTGCGTACGTATGGACGCAAAATGGGGTGGCCAGATAGCAAAGTATACCCAAACATAGCTTGTCCTTACATAGATTCGCGAACACTTTATCTTTACACTTGAATGAACGTCTCTGCGAACAACACAATGTAGCTGATATGTCATGGATATGCACCCTATCATACCACACTGACAACCTAAACTGACTGAGTTTAGTTTTACGCCGCTTTTAGCAATATTCCAGCAATATCACGGCGGGGGACACCAGAAATGGGCTTAACACATTGTGCCCATGTGGGGAATCGAACCCGGGCCTTTGGCATGACGAGCCAACGCTTTAACCACTAGGCTACCCCACCACACTGACAAGCTAAAACAGGAACATTTCTTTATGGATTGACAACTTTTTCATTGCAATGGATGCGACGTGTTTGTGTTGACCCTAACACAGTAAGTGCTTGATAAGGGTGTAAGCATTTACAGGGTTGAAACATACCACTGCAGGACGCCGGGTGGGTACAATAGTGCCAAACTACTGAAATGTGTTGATATATGTATTTTGATGGTGAAATAATAATGCAATATTGCCACAATTGATAAAGATTATTTGCAAAAGAAACCAAATTGTTAATTGTGGTCAAGTGAAATTAATATTTGGTCAAGTGGATTTGAAAGTTTACAGGACCTGTGTCCAGTGGAGTTTGGACAAAAACATCAACCCCTGATCTAAACTGACGATCAAAAGAAACTATACCGATGATTTTTGCGAAAATAGTCATCTTAATTGCCTTGCTATAATGCAAGATACATATACAACTGTTAAACTAAACAAAATGTTTGACAAAAATAGCATAAAATGCAAATCTTAGCTTAATGGCGACGTGAAAATGACTTAAATGGAAAAACACTAATTTGTTTGAGAAAATTGTGATGCACGTGCAATTCATGGTATAAGCATAGCACATGCGAAGTTCAGCATGCAGTCAACAGGAAAACACTAGTACAGGCATTGAGAGAGGAATGGAGAGCAATTCCCAATAGTGTCATCAGACGTCTGACGTCAGTACGTCGTCGAGTGCATGCCTGCATAAACGCACATGGTGGACATACTCGATATTGAATTTGCTTACCCAGTGTATGACATTTACCACAGTTATTGTGTGTTGATTGATGTGAACTGTTACTTGACTTGTGATGAGCGTAGTGGCCAAATCTTACCAGTAAGCTTATTTTTCGTAACTGATAATATTGACTAAATGTTTGCGCTCCAAGAATAAACTGATTCTATTAAGCTCGTGTTTGTACTTTTTCGAAAATTTGAAAATAATTATGGGTATAGTTTCTTTTGATCGCCAGTTTATATACATGTTTTTGTTAAATAGGAATCTACCGGAAATTACGTATTTGTATTGGGAAATGACACAATTGCGGATAAATGACGTGTTTGTTGTATCGATAATTCATAGAGGCTACGGTATACCATAGGCGAATCCAGAAATTCAAAGGGGGGCGGGGGTGGGGTTCTCACTCTCTCTCTCTCTCTCTCTCTCTCTCTCTCTCTCTCTCTCTCTCTCTCTCTCTCACACACACACACACACACACACACACACACACACACACAAAATCTGGATCCGCCACTCTATTCAGTTGTGAAATAAATCAAAGTTGCATTCGTGTTGGTTTGGTAACATGAGAGTTTGGGTTGCGTGATACAGACCTTGAACGTAAAGGGAGGTCACTCTAAACGGCCATCAACCCAAATATGGGCACATGCTAGAGATGACGTCATTTTATTCTACCTTGATGCATTTCATTATGAATTCAGTAATCATCATATCTTTTAAGCCTTCAGTCTCAATTTACATGTTGTTAAAGGATGATAAAAACTATAAGGGATAGCTAGATATAAACTTGGTCAGTCTGCTGGCAACAGACGTTAAGACTGAAACTTCAAGCTTGACAGATCCAAGATTAAGCCAAATCATTTCGTAAATTTGGAATCGATTATGTTGTTAGGAAAATAGTTCTACCTGTGTGTGTTCTGTCCATCAATACTCCTATACTGGCCGTGGGAGGGGTACGTTCTGCACAGTTGATTGTAGACACTATTGGCGCGAAGACTGCACAGTCCCGTGAACGTAAGTAATGGCGGGTCGAAGTACCCGGATTATAATTTTTGAGGGTGATGACTTTCAAAACATTCCGGTACTTTGGTCCAAGTTCGATTCCCAGTTCACTGACATTATTTTCACCGAGTAAACATCTCCAACACATTCCTTTTCCTTGTCCTATTATTCAATACACATCTGTTCACTGATATAATCAAAACAGTTGAAGAAAAATCTTTTTAATAGATGGCGGTGAGTCCCACTTGGTCGTCAACAAAAGGAGTCGTGGTCGTGGTCGATGTTGTGGTGTGATGCATGTGTGTAGAGTGTACGGTAAGTGATATGAAAACAAAAGTGCATGTAATGTGTGTCATGTGGTCATCAGCATACAGAGCTACAGAAGGAACGTTTGTCTATTTTTCTGCCTTATTCATTTTATTTTATTGCATAAAAAAAATATTTTAAATAATTATTTTATTTTATTTCTCGGACATACTTTCTATAAAGTTGCAAATGTACATGAAAAATACACCAATTATATGAGTGACCTCACATTGGTGACGTTCGTGTGTACTCGAGTGACACGAGGCTGCTATCTGAACATATGTGCGTATTGTCCTCATACGGGCATGTAAACGTTATCATCGTGTTATCTCAAGCCACACTTCGCTGTCTCATCTTCTAAATAAGGACGAACGTCGGCAAAGTTTCATCAGTTGATGAGAGCTCCTGTGGGGTTTCAGGATATTTGCTGATCACTTCCACAATGCTTCTACTATTGTGTATATGCTTGAGTGTTGTAACATCAGTATATGGTGACAACAGCCGTCCGCTCGGCTACACAGAGGTTCTGGTAAGAGCTCACTCTCCCTCCAGAGAGAAGATCGTCAACAGTGATCTCTACCGTACGACAGTAGAGGAACTAGTTCGTTCGATAAAGCCTGATCGACTTCTACACCTTGGCCAATACCTTCAAGATGAGGACGTGTCTGTGATGAATCTGCTTCAGTTGGATGCTGACCCAGAGAACGAGACAGAGAAGGTGCCCTCTGACTTGTGTTCTAACAATACTGGGCTCATCCTGACCCAGGCGGCCGCGGGAGATCGATGGGCACTAGCCAGTATGTGAAGCTTCATGTTCGACTATTTTGAGAGAGTGGGGAATTAGTTTTACGCCAGATCACAAACTATTTCTGCTCTACTCTGGTTTGGTAGGGGCTCCAGTCGGCGTTTACCCACGGGCACTCTAATAAACCAAGGTCCGTATGTCGGGATTCGAACCGTTGTGAATGGATCGTGTTTTTGTTTGGTAAACGTCATCTCTCAGGGAGATGCAGTGAGTCTCCACAGAATAACTTAATATGTTAGACTATGTGGGCGGTATGTTTGGGAGAACCAGTTAAGTTAATTTGTTTACAGAAACCTGCAGTGTTTGATATTCTATTAGAGTAGAGATTACAAGACTGACTGACAGACTGAGTTTAGTTTTACGCCGCTTTTAGCAATATTCCAGCAATATCACGGCGGGGGACACCAGAAATGGGCAGAGATTACAAGAGCACGTATAGTACGGGATGAGGTATTTGTGTCTATTCGAAATGGGTTAGTTGTGTCTAGTCGGAATGGGTTACATGTGTCTAGAAGGAATAGGTGAGATGTGTCTTGACAGAATGGGTAAGTTGTGTCTAAACGAAATAGGTTATATGTGTCTCGACGGAATAGGTTATTTGTGTCTAGACGGGATAGGTTAGTTGTAATATGGGTTATATGTGTCTAGACGGAATTAGTAAGTTGTTTCTAGACGAAATATGTTATGTGTGTCTAGATGGAATGGGTTATATGTGTCTAGACGGAATGGGTTGGTTGTGTCTGGACGGAATTGGTTATTGTGTCTAGACGGATGGGTTAGTTGTGTCTAGAAGGAATGGGTTAGTTATGTCTATATGGAATGGATTAGTTGTGTCTAGACGGAATGTGTTGTATGTGTCTAGACGGAATAGGGTATATGTATCTAGATGGAATGGGTTAGTGTCTAGATGGAGTGGGTTAGATGTGTCTAAACGGAATGGGTTAGTTGTGTCTTGACTGAATGGAGACGAATCACGTCGGGCCTCGCAGTAACATCCAATTGTGTTACCCGTATTGACTGTGTAAAATCTATGGATAAAATTATCATCGAACCTCCATACAATTCAGAAATTCTGAATGTGCGAACGTTGTGAAGGCGTTTTATTCTTTCGTACTCTGCTTGTCGCATGCATGGCATCCCTTAGATACACCAGGATCCGCTGTTTATAATTTCGAATCTCAGTGTTTAAACATGTTAGAACATACTTTAGAAACGTTTAAAGCCTATGTACTGAAATGATTCACTCTGTCATACATTGATTTAAATTCCTGACACAGTGATATGTCTCCCACGGGAACCTGCTACAGCTCAGCTGAATGCGTCTGGCTGGTCCTTTCTTTGCCAGACTGTCTGTCCGTTCTCGTAAGGCCGAATTTGTCTATTTGTCTGTCTCCTAACTGAATGCTCTTACACCAGTGCTAGACGCTGCGGGTAAGCCCGACAGCAACATACTTGGAGGTCAGGTGATGTGGGTAGGATCCTACTGGGAATGCATTGAGACACGAGCTACGGTCTACCCCGGGCCCGAAAATGAGACTGAACCGGAGGTGCTGTATGAAGGTCAATACTGCACCTCAGCGCTGCCCCTAACACCCGGCACACCACAGGTGAGAGTATGCCGTTACACATCTGACCTTCCCTTACCCCCTGCCCAGTACTGTTGAGACTACGCAACAACAATCTGACCTTCCCTTACCCCCTTCCCCACAACCTTCTGTATACTGAGTCTCCAGTAAGGCTGTATACTGAGTCTCCAGCGAGGCTGTATACTGAGTCTCCAGTAAGGCTGTATACTGAGTCTCCAGTGAGGCTGTATACTGAGTCTCCAGTGAGGCTGTATACTGAGTCTCCGGCGAGGCTGTTTACTGAGTCTCAAGGGAGGCTGTATACTGAGTCTCCAGTGAGGCTGTATACTGAGTCTCCAGCGAGGCTGTTTACTGAGTCTCCAGTAAGGCTGTATACTGAGTCTCCAGTGAGGCTGTATACTGAGTCTCCAGCGAGGCTGTATACTGAGTCTCCAGCGAGGCTGTATACTGAGTCTCCAGCGAGGCTGTATACTGAGTCTCCAGTGAGGCTGTATACTGAGTCTCCAGTGAGGCTGTATACTGAGTCTCCAGTGAGGCTGTATACTGAGTCTCCAGTGAGGCTGTATACTGAGTCTCCAGCGAGGCTGTATACTGAGTCTCCAGTAAGGCTGTATACTGAGTCTCCAGTGAGGCTGTATACTGAGTCTCCAGTGAGGCTGTATACTGAGTCTCCGGCGAGGCTGTTTACTGAGTCTCAAGGGAGGCTGTATACTGAGTCTCCAGTGAGGCTGTATACTGAGTCTCCAGCGAGGCTGTTTACTGAGTCTCGAGTAAGGCTGTATACTGAGTCTCCAGTGAGGCTGTATACTGAGTCTCCAGCGAGGCTGTATACTGAGTCTCCAGCGAGGCTGTATTCTGAGTCTCCAGTGAGGCTGTATACTGAGTCTCCAGTGAGGCTGTATACTGAGTCTCCAGTGAGGCTGTATACTGAGTCTCCAGTGAGGCTGTATACTGAGTCTCCAGTGAGGCTGTATACTGAGTCTCCAGCGAGGCTGTATACTGAGTCTCCAGTAAGGCTGTATACTGAGTCTCCGGCGAGGCTGTTTACTGAGTCTCAAGGGAGGCTGTATACTGAGTCTCCAGTGAGGCTGTATACTGAGTCTCCAGTAAGGCTGTATACTGAGTCTCCGGCGAGGCTGTTTACTGAGTCTCAAGGGAGGCTGTATACTGAGTCTCCAGCGAGGCTGTATACTGAGTCTCCAGTAAAGCTGTATACTGAGTCTCCAGTAAGGCTGTTTACTGAGTCTCCAGTGAGGCTGTATACTGAGTCTCCAGCGAGGCTGTATACTGAGTCTCCAGTAAAGCTGTATACTGAGTCTCCAGTGAGGCTGTATACTGAGTCTCCAGTAAAGCTGTATACTGAGTCTCCAGTGAGGCTGTTTACTGAGTCTCCAGTAAAGCTGTATACTGAGTCTCCAGTAAGGCTGTTTACTGAGTCTCCAGGAGGCTGTTTACTGAGTCTCCAGTAAAGCTGTATACTGAGTCTCCAGTGAGGCTGTTTACTGAGTCTCCAGTAAAGCTGTATACTGAGTCTCCAGTAAGGCTGTTTACTGAGTCTCCAGTGAGGCTGTTTACTGAGTCTCCAGTAAAGCTGTATACTGAGTCTCCAGCGAGGCTGTTTACTGAGTCTCCAGTAAGGCTGTATACTGAGTCTCCAGCGAGGCTGTTTACTGAGTCTCCAGTAAGGCTGTATACTGAGTCTCCAGCGAGGCTGTATACTGAGTCTCCAGCGAGGCTGTTTACTGAGTCTCCAGTAAGGCTGTATACTGAGTCTCCAGTGAGGCTGTATACTGAGTCTCCAGTACAGCTGTATACTGAGTCTCCAGTGAGGCTGTATACTGAGTCTCCAGTAAAGCTGTATACTGAGTCTCCAGTAAGGCTGTATACTGAGTCTCCAGTAAAGCTGTATACTGAGTCTCCAGTAAAGCTGTTTACTGAGTCTCCAGTAAAGCTGTATACTGAGTCTCCAGTAAGGCTGTATACTGAGTCTCCAGTAAAGCTGTATACTGAGTCTCCAGTAAGGCTGTTTACTGAGTCTCCAGTAAAGCTGTATACTGAGTCTCCAGTAAAGCGGCATAGTAATTTGCCTTAGGCCGTTTAGTTATCCCGCTTGGGCTGTATAACTAATTTGCTGTCAAGATGTAGTTATTTGCCCAAGGGCTGTGTAATGAATCACTTTTATGACTACCCAGATATTCACTGTATACAAAAACCTTTAACATCTTCTCCAGACCGCGGGGTTTGGAGGAACAAGTCCTGGAATCAAGATCGGCGTCTGTTTTCCTAGCACTTGCTCAGAAGCTGATGTCACTGCCCTTCTCAATGCAGGTAGGAATGTCAACTTCGTTCTCTCTCAGATCACGTAAACCTGTCTTGTTGAGATGCTTGTAAGGCTGTATAGTGAGCTACCTGCAAGTTTTTTTTCATGTTTAGTGAGTCGTCTTTAGGACTGTGTAGTGATTGGCCTTTAAGGGCGATATGGTGAGTCGCCTGTACAATACCATGGCGTTCTGTCCCCAGTGCTGGATAGAGTCAATACCAGCCTCAAGCTGAGAGCCTTCAGTGTTGTATAGTAATTCACTGTAAAACTGTACATATTGTGAGTCGCTTGTAATTCTGTATGGCGAGTTGTCTGTACAATATCATGGTGATCTGTCCCCAGTGCTGGAGACAGCCAATACCAGCCTCAGGGTGGGATCCACCGTCTGCCAGAAGAAGACACAAGACTACAACGCCAACGCCATCATTGTACTGTGAGTACGCTGAATCCTGACTTAATGTTATGTTACGGTGCATATTCCAACCATATATATATATGTAATCTAGCTTCGTACACCAATGGTTGACAGCACAGGGTGAAATCCCAGACATCTGGACGTGACACCATCAGTGGGCTGCAGAATCTCCTGTAGCGTAAACAGGAAATACGTCATATCGGGAATCTCCCAGTTTGGTTTCTGTTTTGTATACCGGAAGTAACACATACCCTCGTAAAGCTCGTCACAATCATTTCCCTACAGGTTGGTCCTGTCACTGTTTGTGACGGTGATGGTAACGGCCACGATGTACGACATCGTGTGGGTGCAGATGCCGAAATGGGAGATGGAGAAACAACAAGCAGCAGGAGATGTGGGGACCACGGTCAACATCAAGGACACATCGCAGTCCATAGAGACGACACCTCTGTTGAAGGACAAACAGCGTCGCAGCAACTGTCTCGGACAACAGGTAGGCCCAGAGAAGATGAAATCTTTGCTTCGTGTGTGTGCGTTCACTGTTCACCTATTACAGCTGTCGATAATGTTTGCGAATGTTATGTTTTATTCAGTTGTATTGCATTAAGGTAAAGGATGAAGATTGTACTCAGTCATAGTATATCTTAGGAATGTAACGCTTACAGAATTACATGTTAATGCTACGGTGATAATGAACGCCATAATGTTACGGTAATATTATTACATCATACTGTTATGGTCATCATAATGCAAAAGAATGTTACGGTTAAAGAATCAAGTTATAATGTCACGGTGATAATATTACTTATAAATGTCTGTTGCGGTGGGGTAGCCTAGTGGGGAAAGCATTCGCTCGACCCGCCAAAGCTGGTTTCTCAATATCCGTCGAAAATGTGAAACTCATTTTTGGTGTGCCCACCGTCATACTATTTAAATTGATATTACTGATATTGCTAAAAGCTGCTAAAAACGGTGATTGTGTTGTAGGTGTTGCCGCTCAGATGTTGCTGTCCTTCTCTGTGTACACCAACACCGTCAAACTGTTGTCCCTGTCCCAGCCCCCGGGATCCATCTCCAGCATCCACGGGATCAGGTTCTTCAGCATGACCTGGGTCATCCTCGGACACTCCTTGGCTTTCGCTACTGGAGCCTCACGTGCGTCCAACTCTTTTACTTTATAGTTGTTATGTTGATATCATTTGTTGTGCCCTCCTTTAACTTCTGTATCTGCTGGTCGGAGGTTCGAATCCCAGATCGAGCAAAACATGATCCTTGGTTTGTCGGCTCAAGCTGGTGTCAAGGAAACATCGCTGAACATTGGCATCTCTGTATATGTGTGGCGTGACGTGTGTGTGTGTGTGTGTGTGTGTGCGTGTGTGCGTGCGTGCGTGCGTGCGTGCGTGCGTGCACATTGCGCCTTATATATCATATGTAACTTTTGTCTTCCTGTTTTAGAAAATGCGGCTTCCTACCTTCCAAGGGCTTTAAAGCACTGGTCGTTCCAAGCCATTGCCAACGCCACCGTGGCTGTAGACACTTTCTTCACTCTCAGGTAAGCCCTGCTTAGATCAGATCTTAGATCAGAACGGGCTCACTCGGGGTTGTTAAGTTGGACAGCTATCTGCATATCCCACTTAAGTCACATCATTTCCCACTTAAGTCACATCATACCTCAGGAAGGTCACATGATATCCCACTTAAGTCACGTCATATGTCAGGTAAGTTACATCATATCTCAAGTAAGTCACATCATATCCCAGGTAAGTCACATCATATCCCAGGTAAGTCACATCATAACGCAGGTAAGTCACATCATATCCCAGGTAAGTCACATCATATGTCAACAAGTAAGACACTTCGAGCTCCAAAGCACCTTCCTCATTTCAGTTCCCACTGCACTTAACAACCGATAAAAACATAATTACATACTGTCAGTATATCTTCATATAGCTAATAAATACTGATAGAAACAGAGAATAGACAAACATCGCTATGTAGCTCGAAATGTCCTCGGCGCGGTTCATAAACTTCCATAACCTGGAAAAACGCAGGCCTTGCCTTTCTAAGCACGTGATTGTTACTGTATCTCATGGTGCGTGGCAATAAACGCTGCCACCTACTTGAGTATTACGATAGTTTGGAAGACTTTAAGAGGTAGAAGCTCCTTCATCTATTTATCGTATAATAGGATATCCCACCCTTTCATATGAAGCCTGGTTAACGTAACGAGCGTGCGGTAAACCTATGGTATCATGACGCGTTGCTCTTTGACTGATGGCATGATACAACAGACGGTCCACCATTTCACAGGGTGAGTGAGACTGTATTGTTGAACACATCAAAAGGTATATTATGTTAGCTTTGCATCAAAAGGTCTTATCATGTCAGTCTTTAATAGTATAACAGTAATTGTTCCATGCTGTATTCTGGCAGCGGTCTTCTGGTAGCTTACCTGGTGCTGAAGGAGCTGTCCCGCAACAAGGGCAAAATCAACTGGTTCATGTTCTACTTCCACAGATTCTGGAGGTAAGCACTGTACTATACAACACGTGAACCAATACGATTTTACACAGCTTTAGAAATATTTCGGCAATAGCGCGGCAGTGGACTCCAGAAATGGGTTTATACATTGTACCAAGGTATGGAACCGAAGGCTTTTAATCCAAGTTATTCCACCCCATAGACTGTTAGATTAGTGTTCAGGCAACATGTTGACCTATGTCCTTGGTGGCAGGCTGACCCCTGCGTATATGCTGGTCATCATGGTGTACGTCCCACTGTTCAATCACTGGGGAGAAGGACCACTGTGGCCTCAGGCCGGCATTGAACCTACCAACTGCAAACAATGGTGGGGCAACCTCCTCTACATCAACAATATCCTCGACATAGAGAATCTGGTAAGGATATCTCAGTGGGTGTTTACTGCTCATCTTAATAGAAATACTTGAACATCGATTTGAAAAATTAGTATTTTCCATTTTGTAGTGGAATTGTACTTACATGCTTATTGCGTTGTTTGAACTGGCTTGAGCCGGCGTCTGGTGATGTTTCAGTGCATGAACTAGTACTGACGTGCGTCTGGTGATGTTTCAGTGCATGAACTAGTACTGACGTGCGTCTGGTGATGTTTCAGTACATGAACTAGTACTGACGTGCGTCTGGTGATGTTTCAGTGCATGAACTAGTACTGACGTGCGTCTGGTGATGTTTCAGTACATGAACTAGTACTGACGTGCGTCTGGTGATGTTTCAGTGCATGAACTAGTAATGACGTGCGTCTGGTGATATTTCAGTGCATGAACTAGTACTGACGTGCGTCTGGTGATGTTTCAGTGCATGAACTAGTACTGACGTGCGTCTGGTAATATTTCAGCGCATGATCTAGTACTGACGTGCGTCTGGTGCTATTTCAGTGCACGAACTAGTACTGGCGTGCGTCTGCTGATATTTCAATGCATGAACTAGTACTGCCGTGCGTCTGGTGCTATTTCAGTGCATGAACTAGTACTGACGTGCGTCTGCTGATATTTCAGTGCATGAACTAGTACTGACGTGCGTCTGATGATATTTCAATGCATGAACTAGTACTGATGTGCGTCTGGTGATATTTCAGTGCATGAACTAGTACTGACGTGCGTCTGCTGATATTTCAATGCATGAACTAGTACTGACGTGCGTCTGGTGATAATTCAGTGCATGAACTAGTCCTGACCTGCGTCTGGTGATATTTCAGTGCATGAACTAGTACTGACGTGCGTCTGCTGATATTTCAGTGCATGAACTAGTACTGACGTGCGTCTGCTGATATTTCAATGCATGAACTAGTACTGACGTGCGTCTGCTGATATTTCAATGCATGAACTAGTACTGCCGTGCGTCTGGTGATATTTCAGTGCATGAACTAGTACTGACGTGCGTCTGCTGATATTTCAGTGCATGAACTAGTCCTGACCTGCGTCTGGTGATATTTCAGTGCATGAACTAGTACTGCCGTGCGTCTGGTGATATTTCAGTGCATGAACTAGTACTGACGTGCGTCTGCTCATATATCAGTGCATGAACTAGTACTGACGTGCGTCTGGTGCTATTTCAGTGCATGAACTAGTACTGACTGGCGTCTGCTGATGCAGATGTTTCAGTGCATTAACTGGTTACGACATACCGGGACTGCTCGTATTTATTTAGCCCGTGGGCTTATCAACAAAACACATAACGTTTTTAAGCCCATGGGCGTAAATACGATTATGAAAATGGAGTGATCTCCCTTACCGGATGATTACTGAAACGTGTTTACATGGAAAGTTTCAATCAATATTGCACACTTAGTGCTACTAGGGGATTTCATATTTACAAAACACGTTAGACATCTAAAATAGGTGAATTTTTGGACAGCCAAATTTTAATCTCAGTGCGATCATCTTAACCATTATGGCAAACACACTGTGTCTACTTCAAACCTTCTTGAAGGTTTTTTTTTCGTTTTTAAGCCCTGGGCTTAAGTTCAAGTCAAATGTTACCTTGTTAAAACAGGCAAAAATTGGTAATTAAGCCCTGGGTTTAAAGGCGTGCAGTCCCGGTACGTGTTTCGTGTTTCAGTGCATGAATTTGTACTGACGTGCGTCTGGCGATGTTTCAGTGTATGAGCTGAAACTGACTTGTGTCACGTGATGCTTCGGTTATGTTTTAGCTACGTTTTCTTTCAGCGTATGACCTCGTCGTATTCTGGGTACCCGTGTGTAGCGTTATTTCTGTTATGCCTGCTGTGTTGTTCCAGTGCATGGGTTGGTCCTGGTACCTGTCGAACGACATGCAGTTCTACATCCTCAGCCCCCTCGTCTTCATGCCGTTCTTCCAGTAAGTCACATATAACCCTGTGTCAAGTGTCTAGTGGAACTTAACTATGTATAACCCTTCCAGACACATGGGACTTACAAACAACTGGGTTTACGCGTTATACCAATGTAGGCATTAAGACGAGCCAACATTTTGAAACCATTATATCGCCCGAATATGATTTAAGTTTTCATCAACTAACATCATCCCAAACATCAGTATAGTAAACACCAAACTGCGTGTTCTAGTTCCTGGACGGCAGGGACTGCGTCGGCAATGACGTTCCTGCTGACGACGTTCATCACCTCCGGCATCACCTCCAAACATTACGGCCTCCCTGCCAGCATGTTAACCAACCCTGGGTGGGTAGCATTCCGAAGTCATTCCTATAATAGCTGAATGCGATTTGTACCGGTTTGTAATTACTGCTGGTTTACAGGACGATGGGCCGAAACTAGATAACACTGATATAAAATACAAAATGCACCCCTACTATGTACCTTAATAAATATATTTAATAGAAGTGAAAACAATGATTTAATGTTGATTACTTTGTAGATGTTTTTGTTAAAGGTGTGAACAAAACAATGATATGTGTCGTCCGTCAAAGTGATACAGCCATCTACTGGCTAATGCTTTTTGTCATTGCTCAAACTGATAGATGTATTCGGACCAAATATATTTGTCGTTGGTAAAAATAATAAAGATATATTCAGAACAACGATATATGACGTTGGTCAAAAAGATAAGACATATACAGAATAGTGTTAATTGTCTCTGGTCTGTGTGATAATGATATATATTGACCAAGCGTACGTCATTCAACTCATTGGTCAAACTGATACAGACATATACTACATATAATGTTATTTCCACGCAGTAAGACTCTGGTGTATATGGACAAATACTACTTCAAACCCTACACCCGTATCGGGCCCTACATCGTGGGTCTGTGGGTTGGCTACCTGCTCTACAAGACCGACTGCAAGTATAAAATGTCCAAGGTGAGTCAAAGTAGTCTGTAAGGCCCACGGAACTGTACGATACTGCATGAAACTGGTGAAGAAAACAACAACACATTTTTCCGGCTCAAGATATTAAAATAATGAGAGATGTGTTTAGGCGGGTAAAAAATACACTAAAACAAGGCAGAAAATGTTCACGGGCGAAGCCCATTTCTGGTGACGTGATATTGCTGGAATATTGCTAAAATCGGCGTAAAACTTAACTCACTCGTATGACAATCTCTCCTTCATGTCTGTATACACGTTGACGGCCATCAGGTGAAAAGATTACATATCTACACTCATCAGAGGATACAATCCTTGACTAGTCTCACACTTATCAACCCTGTACTTTGTCCCTTCCCATCCTCACATATTCACGCTTTCGCCGGCTTTAAGTAATGAAATACATTTGGTTATATTTGTGCGACATATTTAAGCAAGATTCCATCACCGTTCTCGAAACAAGAGATCGAACACTTATTAAGTGAAGTACATGTGCTATTTTTCATAGGTAATGGTTGTCCGTGTTGGTCTGCGCCTGTGCGTTATTTGTTGCACACGTGTTGTTCGTTATATGGTGAGGTGAGGTCAAATTGGATTTAACGCTGTGCTTGAGAATATTTCGCTCATATGACGACGTACATGCGTGTGTGTGTGTGTATGTGCGGCTGCTTGTACTAGCCCAGACTGAAGCTGGTTTTATAGTGCTAGCCCCCCTGAGATACCATGCCGCAGTGAAGCATGGATACCCTACTCAGACACATTATACTGACTCCGAGCCGATCAGTCCTTGTTGTACCGATTAATGCCGAGCGCCAGGCAGGGACCAACAAGTACCATATTTTAACGTCTTTTGGTATGACGCGGTCGGGGATCGAACCCGCAACCTTCTGCTCTCCGGGCGGACGCTCTAACCACTACACCACGGAGGCGGTCTCGTTATACGGTTTTTGTCGTAGATGTTGCTGTGGGCTGTAGTTGTGTATGTTGTCTTAAACCTGTATGTAATGACCATGTTGTAAGCCATGCTTTGTCGGCTTGTACACATGTTGTTTGATGTATTCGCCGTTCATCAAGGGAACACCTAGCCTTAAAACTTATTGCACTTTGACAGATACATGTGTGCGTGCGTATGCTTGCTCTGCTATCTCTTCTACGTCCCACGTTTGGACGTGGGTGGAACCATCAGTCTTCTATTCTTCACGCAGACGTTCCTTGTATTAGATCAATGAAGTCGTCTTGAGGACGTTTTGGTTTTGTATTGTGGGATTGTGTTTTAGATTTACAATATTTTGTACCGACCAAAATGGAGTTCACAGTGGTATTCAGTAACGTCATTACCGTTGTTACAGGCTGTAAATTTGTTAGGATGGGCCACAGCGACGGCCGTCTCCCTTGCGGTGTTGTATGGCCTTTACAACGATACCAATGGACACCCTCTCACCGTCGACGAAGCCGCATTCTACAACGCCATGCACAGGACTGCTTGGGGAGGATGTGTAGCGTGGGTGGTGTTTGCATGTGCAACTGGGAATGGAGGTAGGGATCTCTCACTGGTGTTGTTCAAGGACAGCCTTGTCAAATGTTAAACAGCGACAGGACAACCATGGCTGTAAACGCTACGGTTAGAATGTCCCCAGCAACCTTTGGTAGAAGGCAGACATTGGGACTTGGATGATAGCGTGTCAATGCACCCTGGTGCTGTCGATTGTTTTTCATTGGATTGTCTGGTCTAATTGTTTCTCTCTGGATGGTCTGGTCCAAACTTATTTACTCAGTCCCCCACCATAAACCAGTAGTCGTGTGTGTGCCGTTAAACAACAAATACTCTGCCTGTGTTTAACTGAGCTTGGGATCGTTCTCAATGAATGTATCAAAACCTCTAAACGTGAACTTTGCCTGCCCCTTCTTGTTGGTAACATCATTCATGTCCAAGTATCTATGTGTGGAGAGAAGCAAGTAATCTCAAACCCCGTCATGTTATGGCAATGTGGCAAAAGGAAGATTCGGGACACAAATTCATAGGATATAGGCCATTCTGCTGATCAGCAAATCGTTACGTTAAATAGACAACAGTCTGGCTTATTTGTACACTTGTCTTTCAGGCTTCGTGAACACCCTGCTGTCCTGGCGTGCCCTCATCCCCTTGAGTCGTCTCACCTACACCTGCTACCTTGTCCACCCCGTCATGATGTACATCTACTACTACGGTCGACAGCAGCTCTATTCCTTCTCTACATTAGATGTGGTAAGTGGCATATGTGTGAAGCTTCTTGTGACAGTTGTGGGAAACACTTCAGTTGTTCTAAATCTTCTTGTGCTGTAGATACCCGGATATTATCTGTTTTTCATATACCATCCACAAAAAGTAGGGGATACTAGATTTACAAGATTGATAAAATGCAAGTGATGAAGCCAAGGAGGAAACAGATGATGAAGAGAAATTAAGGGAAAATGTGACAATTTATTCCATTCCATTTGGAAATGTTTCATCTGTATGGATATTTGTTACTGTTCTCACATGCATTGGCATTGGCTAGTGGTATGCTCGCAAAATGGAGCATCTCCTACTTTTTTTTAATGGTATATAGCCGTGCTAGGCTCTCTTTCAGACACCTTGCCATGAAGGTTAGCTGCCTGTCCAACCCAGAATGAAGTAGTGTTCACTTAAGAACATTGTGAAGGGGGCATTTATTTCAGCGAACAATACCTTTAGCTGAAACAATTCAGTATCCTGATCATTGGACCGAAAACATGTAAACGACACCCCTTAAAAAGACCTTCGAAATGGATCACTGTAGGCAGCAATGTGTAACTAAGGAAAGAATCACAAGTTTCATTCAGAAATTGCTTAAACAAACATGATTTCATTTCACATACTTCGACAAATAAACCTATTTTGGGGGGACAAAATATGGTAAAAAAGTAATCAATACAATGTCTTAGCATGGAAATAAAACAACAATGACTCGGGTTCCAACATAAAAAAATCTTTGACTGAAGTGACGTAAAATTAATATTAAATTACTTTGTTTCAGATATGGACGTTCTTTGGCAACCTGACAGCTACCTACATCATAGCATATGTGACATCTCTTGCATTTGAGGCTCCGATGATGGGGCTGGAAAAGACCCTCCTCAAGAGAAAGAAATCATAGCACCAGCACACCAAACTCCATCATATTAAATGAAATTACAGAGACATTTTGACCACAAGTGCAATGTTTTCCTCCTCACAAACACAAAGTATGTCTCCACATTTTCAGCAGATTAACATTTATCAATATTCATATCTAAGTGCTGTTTCTGCAAGACTGTGTACACCATGCTCCATATAACCAGGGGTGGAAATAACTTTAAAATTGCTAGTGAGCTCCGGTACATTGGCACATGTAAAATCACTTGCACTGATAATTTTTCCACTATACTGATTGTTGATTTTTTAAATAAACAACATAATTAATATTGGAAAGTCAACTGGACACCGGTACAGTGTGATATACAAATTTGCTTGCCCAACCAAAAAAAACACTGGACTCGGGCGTCGGGCAATGGGTTATTTCCACCCCTGATAACGCTTCTTTACCTTGTTTGTAATGATCAAGTGCAATTCTCCCGTTATGCATTCTAAGTTGAATTGTAGTAAAGTAATTTCCTGTATTTTCCAATTACTGCATGCAAACTTGTATAAAGCATATTTATTCAACTTTAAGGAAGTTTCCTACACATACTCCTTGTTTTGGAAAATATTTGACAGTACAAGAAATGTCTTGTATTCAAATCAATCCAAGTAAATGCATCAACAAAAGACAAATACTGATTCCAAATATATTCTTTTTTTCTCTCAACCACAGAGCTGTAATCACTAAACTCAGTTAGTTCATAATTTCATAATTTATGGCTTTGGGGTGGGTGTGTGTGTTTGGTGGCGATGATGATTTTAAGGGGGCACCAGTTTGTTCTGGGGAGGAAGGAGGGGGTCAGCAATTTTGTACACATGTACTAGGGGGATCAGCAATTTTGTACATAAAAATACTACAACATTATGCTTTAAAAATATGGGAAGGGGAGGGGTCATTGATTTTGTACATGATATGCAAGGAGGGTCACTTGCTTTGTACCTTAATTTTTATGGGGGGGGGTCACATTGTATATGCACATTGATAAAATCATCATCACCCCCCTTGCCATAAATTATGAACAGTCCTTTAGATTACTGTTGCACATTCACACATACAGGATCCAAACACAAATACTCTCTAGCTTTGACTGAGATTGCACTAGCACTATTATTACTTGCTCCCAGGGTGATCAATCATCACAATTCACTCAATAACACATCAGTTAATTGCAGATTACATTGGAAGTGTATTTAGGTTCGTTCTCCACGAGCGATCTGGTTCAACTACAGCATTGTGACAGCATGCTGTTGGTCCTGGGTTACTTCCACAGCAAGCTGTTAAGCTGTTATGGCCTACTTCCAGGGCCAAGCGTTGTGACCAGGCCCAGAAGCTACTGCTGTTGCTGCTGCTGCTGCTGCTGCCAGATCTAACAAACTCATTCCCACCTAGAGTCACTTCCTGCTACTCCTCCTTCACCTCCCCACAGTCTTCTATAGAAACTCTCTTAGCTGGAGTGCCATTTCGGGAACCACAAGCCTGAAGAAGTAATTGTGAAAAAATATCTACCGGGTAGTTTACTAAATCAGTCTAAAGGAGCATGTCTTGAATCAGCAAGTGTTGGGGTCATTGCAGAGTTCAGAAATATTCCAGCTACATTAAATGTCAACAGGAAGCATCAAAATATTTTTCCATATGTTCTCTACCTGCTCAAACCCAGATTATTAGAATGGCAACAAAACATCCATCAGACAATGATATATCTCCTTGGATACCTTTTGCCAATGAGATATATTGAACAGTCTGGAGATATATTCCTGGATACTGAGTCAACTGTGAAGTCAGTTGATCATACCAGTTTGACTTGAAAAAACAGAACACATTTACTCAGGAATCTCCAAGTGAAATGGTAGAACAAATTCAGTGTGTATTGATATCTAAACATTTTGTTATTACAAGCTTAGAACTGGTGAGACCGATCAAAATAGAATGTCTTACCTCCATCTTCTTGACAGTGTCCATGCCATCAGTGACCTGACCAAACACAACATGCTTCCCATCTAGCCTGCAACACAGTAACATGACCAGGGATTTATCTAAGTTGCAAAAACAAGACCCCTTGCAAAACTTCATTTATTTTATTCAAAATTGCAAAAACATCCATTCAGAAATCTTTTAACATCTGCATTACAGTCCATAATATAAGTCTAAGCATTTGTGTTATAATTCCAATTTGGTAATTGTTACTGATATTTGCTGCAGAATTGTGGCTGAAGAACAAGCTCTAAGCAGACCTAGATAAATCCCTTATAACACAATAAATGCATGATGCTAAATGTCTCAGTCTGTACTTAGGTCACATGACCTGCTGTGAGGGTGCGAAGTTTCGTTCAGCAGTAACCCAGGGTTACCTAGCATGAGATTGATGAACAGGTATACAGTACATGGGATACTTTGTAAATGTTAATGAACATCTGCTCTGTTAATGAATACAAAATGCATATGACATAAAATTGGTGGTATCATACCATTCTGTTTTTTCTGTGCAAATAAAGAACTGAGAGCCATTTGTGTTCGGTCCAGCATTAGCCATGGAGAGAATCCCTGCAACGAATCATGACCAGCTATTACACATGATTACAAATCATTTCAAGTGGACTTTCTGTTCTCCACTATTCATTACTATATGCCTCTGTAAACATTGCATGCACATAATTCAGTATATTCTGAAATTGTTTGAAGAGGAGAGGGGAGTTTGTATTTAATTCTGCAACTGTATATTTGTCAGGAATGACTAACATACTTTAGCAGGGGGTTACCTTTGTGTGTAGACTATACATACACGACTTCAAGTGACTCTTGCTTATCAACATAGCTACTTATACATGAAGAATACCTTATGTTTACTTTGTGTAGATTTGGATGTTCCTGACCAAATCGTAAGGTCAGGAAAATTTTACCTCTGATCCAAAAATAAATAATGGATGAATCTTATGTAATGTAATCCAGCAGTTCTCTCTATTGCATCAGGTGGGATGCTACAAGGTTAATATTTGCATCCATTTTCAGGTCTTATGTCTGTAAGATGCAATATTTTGCATCCAGTGAAACCCTGCTTACAAGACAACTAGTACTGGGTTCCCGTCTCACCTGGTCCAGTGTGCTTCAGGTCAAAGTTCTCGTCAGCAAACTTTTCCCCGTAGATAGACTTCCCACCAGTACCATTATGTCTGGTAAAGTCTCCTCCCTGGCACATCTGACACGCAGATAAGGATCAGACACAGAGGCACATCAGACACACAAATACGGGTCAGTGAGTGAGTGAGTGAGTTGGGCTTCACACATTATGCCCATGTGGAGAATCGAACCCGGGTCTTCGGCGTGACGAGCGAACAAATACGGGTCAGACACAGACACACTCCAGGCAGACACAAGGATCAGTCATGTGCACATTACAAAGACAGGTGCACACACACAAATAAGGATCAGACACAGAGGCACATCAGACACACAAATAAGGATACAAGGGGCACAGGTGTACATCTAACACACAGATAAGGATCACAAAGACAGGTGTACAGCTAACACACAGATAAGGATCACAAAGACAGGTGTACAGCTAACACACAGATAGATAAAAGACAGATCAACAACAGGCAGACAGGTGTCTAACACACAGGTAAGGATCACAAAGGCAGGTGTACATCCTACAAAAGGCTAAGGATCAAAGCAATACAGGGGAACATTCAAGACACAGAGGCACAACTAATAAACAAATAAGGATCTGGGGATCTGAAAACCTTGACAGTTGGCATGCTTTATGCAATTAAAATGAAAAAAAATCAGTTGACTACAAGTGCATGCAAATCTAAAAACATAAACAAAATCATGACATATCCATTGTATTAAAACTCTGGCATGTATTCATCAGATGATAGCTTGGTGATGTGTGGGTTCCTCTACCATTTCCTTTTTTTGGGAACACAAACACAAATTCACACATCGTTACTTCCAGGTCCCCATCATAGTCCCTTGGGGTGTTGGAGTAGCCAAGATTGTGCTTGTCACAGCCAAGGCCGAGGTTAGACTCCCCATATGGTACGTTTGCTGAGTACTTCTGGTGTCCCCTGCCAATACATCCCTGCTAATATTGATGACAGCTGTGCAACATAGCTTTAGTCATCTCTTTTGTAAGGCCTTAGTGCAGGGAGTGAGTTTGGTTTTACGTCGCTTTTAGCAATATTCCAGCAATATCACACATTGTATCCATGTGTGGATTGGGCGAACCACTAGGTCTTCTGCCTCCTTAGTGACAAATGGATGCTTCAACCACTAGACTACCCATCCGCCTCCTTAGTGCAGTGAAGCCAAAACGGATCAGACCAGACAATCCAAAGAAAATAACTCAGTTTTCAGTTACAATGAATAATGAGCCTGAGACATGCATCTACTCTTTAACAGTCTATTCACAACAGTCATTTTCAGAGAATTCCGACATATTATCTAAACTTTTTACCAGACCATCGGGCTGGCTAGCTGTAAATTTAGACTGTCCGTCAGAAATCTAGCCCCGTTTCAGGCGGTCGGACGGGCCTTATTTTATACACTGGTATAAGGCATGGGTGGTCAGGTTAGGCAACTGCATGACTTTCTTTCCAGCAACTTGAGGCACTGCTCATAACACCAGTCTCGGTTTGTCTTGTCCTGACTTGACATTTCAAGGTAGCAGTCATGTATCCAACACTGGGTGGGGTGTGAACATGAACAAACAACATGATCAAAATTAAATAAGGATACAAAAGTGGGGATTATTCTATGAAAGGAGCTTCCCTTGTAGCCAAACCCTTTCTCGTGTGTACACAGAGCTCGGAAATTTTCTGGAAAAAAAGAAAACATCATTTAAAAAAGCAAACAAAATTCATTTCAAACCTGTTTTTAGAAAGTTTGAGGAATATCGATCTGAAGCTTACATAGTGTTTTTATTGCTCTACTTGAACAAACAAAGGTTCTTTATCCTGATGAATATATGAGATAATATATGTCCTGAAGAAAATGCCTACACCTTACACCCAGGGCTCCAGATAAGGGCCGTATCGGCATATGCACGGATAAAAAAATTGCACGATACGGTAGGTAATAATTTACAAAACGTAGCAGATACACACCACGGCAATGGTGTACGGTCTTAGAATCATTTACAGACGTATTTATCTGAAAAAGTATTGTTTTATTGTATATTGACCTGTTTACACAAGACTAGCAATGTTGTGGTGCATATATGAAACGAAACACAAGATTACTGATACATCATTAAATTCCATTCAGTACTCTAAATGTAGGCTTAAAGTTTTCGAGTACTCCTATATTGACAAAATAAGGAGTACGTACTCCTGGTGTTAAAAAATTATCTGGAGCCCTGTTTAGAGATTGTCACCATCAACAACTAGTCCTGGCAAGTATGCTCCAGCATATCTACCATCAATCAAAACTTGTAACTACCGGTAATATTCTGTATCATGCTGTGACCTTATTCATCGAACAAACTGTCTAAACTGGCTTTAAAGAAATTATCAATTGATAATTGTATATATAAAGAATTAATTATGACTGAACATCACAATAAAAAAGCATATCAGATAACATTCCACAATAAACATGGAAATGTTGATATACAATCACTCATAGGTCAGTGAGTTTAGTTTTACGCCACACTCAGCAATATACCAGCTATATGACGGCGATCTGTAAAGTCTGGACCAGACAATCCAGTGATCAACAACATGAGCATCGATCTGCGCAATTGGGAACCGGTGAGATGTGTCAACCAAGTCAGCGAGTCTGACCACCAGACTCTGTTTGTTGCCTCTCACGACAAGCATAGTCATAGGTCAGTACTACATACCTGCTGTTCTGGGGGCTACATCAGCCCGGAGTTCCATCACTATACGCCCAGCATCCTTGTTGTCAATACTTACATCAAAGAACACTTGAGGATTCTTTGTGCTTTGAGCCCGACATTGGCTGAACTGAAACATGAACGGTAAACATGAATGACTTGAACCAAGCACAAACTATTTCATCCAATCAGAGTATCAAACCTTAAAACAACTGACAGTGTTCGCACACAAAAAGTTAAAGTATACTACCCATTTCAAAAAACATGTTAACGTGAGATGGAGATCTAAATATGTCTATTATTGATTTTTTTTATCCAAATAAGTCAAAGACGTTTTGGGATATTAACTTCTTTATTTATTATTTTATTTTTTACATTATTCACAAATAAGGAGCTGATAAAAGTGATATCAAAAACAAGTTTAATCAATGCTGACATCACTTCAAAGAACCATTATTCAAATGTTCCAACTATATTTGTGTCTGGAGGTTAAAGTCTCAAACATTAGTTCGCAAATATCGTTTTCAGGAGCTCTCCAAAACGTAGTATCATTTGAAATGTATCACAGACATTTACATAAACCCCCGGCAAAATTACGCGCACGTGTTAGTAACCTGGCGGACACCGTGTCACTTTTCGCATCGTTTAGTCCGTGTAATATCTTATTCTGTAATTTTGGAGTGATTACCCAGACCCAATGCAATTTAGAAATGCCTATGTCCTTCTTTTTACCCTCAAAAACTGGGTTCCAAAGCCAAGCAATCGTCTTGAGAAAACCATGTCACTGGATGTTATCGGAGGGAAGATATTTAGAGTTACCTCCCTTGATCTACAGATTCTCCACAACTCTTAAACCCGTTTCGTTTCAGTTCCAAAATGGTACTATAATCATCACGTAAACAGGCTTCAAGATATATTTAGTAACCATACTGGAGTGTATTCCGATTTTGAACTTTTTGTAGTTCGAGATGATGTAACCTAGGCATGATTAGATAGGAGCGTATCATATGTCTGAGTGCAGTGACGTTGATATACGGAAAACTGGACATAGGACCTACTTATGTTCTCTAATGTAATACTGCGTGTGGAATGTGCTAATCATGTACACAGATTTTGACCAATATTGATATATACATGTTTATGAGTTCAATTACCGCACATCCCATCACGAATATCGCCGTCTCGCTTCTGGTGAAGCGCCGAGACGTTGTGATATAGACTATTAGTGAACACTGTTTTGTTTTAATACAATATGCTCGCTTTTTGGTTCGAGGAAATCGTATATTTTACTTTCATTTAAAAGTAAAACGAAGTAAATAACAGCATTCAAAATTAGGTTTTATTACAATTTTTAAAATCAGTTATTTTATAAAGTTGTCTTTATAAGTTTTGTAATCCTTGGAAGAACTCTTCAGGAAAGTATTTGGAAACGCTGCTCCGCACACGGCTCCACACCAACGCCTGCTGCCGTCACCCTAGATGTAAATCGGAAATGGAGTTTTGGCTACGTATACTCCACTACTGGTTCAATTATTACAAGCTTAGAACTGCAGTGAAGAAAAAAAAAGTGCAGTTCAGTTATTGTTATTATTGTTCAAGTTATCAAAAGGCAACAAATCATCTCTATAGCAATGTGTGGAGCCCATTTCTGGAGTCCCCCGCCGTGATGTTGCTGGAATATTGCTAAAAGCGGCGTAAAACCAAACTCAGGCAGGCATCTCTATAGACTGGTTTGTATAAGCAAGAAGTATTTCAAGGCTCTGGAGTTATGCTCCAAAAACTAGCACAGATCTCATTTTCATGAATATCTAACGTGTCATGAAATGGAAAAGAAATATAACGAAATATAATTCGAACTCGATACATTGTTGTTGATGAGTGAAGTCATGGCAAATGGCAAATAACAAATCATTGTTTGTTTTCAGTTTTGAATATAACTGGTCGTAATGTCAACTAGGGGCAACTAGTTATAACTTGAAAGATAACAGAATGTAGCTATCTGAATCTTTAAATATCCCAACCTTTGGAATAATAGATTGGGACGCGCAAACAACATATGGCTCCAATTTTCAAGCGTGTTCATATTGGCTTTAAGTATAGATCTGGACAACTTTCAAGATTCTATTCCACACACGGAATCAACACAAAATCTTAACATATCTATCTTAAGGCTCAAGTTAAGCCTCCAAACCAAACACATTACTGTGTTCAAAAGATAAAGAGCTTCTGCAAATTTACCAAACAAATATGAGCCAACCTAGTTTCCGATATGAAACATGAAACTAGTAGCTGCATCAAACAATCAGGAAGGCCAGCATCATTTTATAGAGAGTTACCGTTCTAAACTGCTTAACTGAACTGGCAGTGCCCATCATATAAATTATGTGTACACTTGTTCGCTTGTGAACAGATATACTAAGCCTTCAGCGCTATAAAAATAGATTAAAATTTGTCAGATTAGCTTAAAGGCTCAAGTACTGCGAAAAGCATTGTTGGGGAAAATTCTATCAGTGGTAAAGATACGATTTGCTGTTAGTCCTCTTTTTGCATCTTAATCAAGAGCCTTCTGTTTCAGAGAGAGGTGTTTGCAGTGGTCCTGCAGTTGGTCTGAAACTTTGCTTGAAAATCGCTAATAAATAGCTGACATATACTCCCATACTTAGATTATGGCAAAGTAGCACCAATAAATCTTAAGCTTTCCAGAGTACACCTTTCTTATTCTAAAGTGAAATCAACCCTGCTAGTGTAAAAGTTATCAAACTGCCAGACGTACCAAAGACATGTTGAGTCTAAGTGCAGTTGAGGGAGGGGGTGCCATGCACAAATGTATGGGGGTGCAATATGTAGGATCTGTCATATAGAGACCACAGGGAAAAAAACGTCACCCATATCCATGCATCACTGGAGATAAGCTATATTTCAGTTCCATCTGCAAAAACATATTTTGTTAATGAACACTATGGGCCTGAGTATATATTTCCAAAGCATTAGCTTCCAACAATGTTTTGGGATTTTTAAAAAAATGTTAGTGTGTGTGTCTGACAATTTCTTCTTTCTTTTCAACAGTTAGAGGCGAGGTGAGGTGAAATGGGGTTTAACGTCGCACTTAAGATTAATTCGCTCATATGACGACGTGCATGCATGTGTATGTATGTGCGGCTGCTTGTACTAGCCCAGACTAAGCTGGTTTTATAGTGCTAGCCAACTGAGATACCATGCCGCAGTAAAGCATGAATACCCCACTCAGAAACATTATACTGACTCCGAGTCGACCAGTCCTTGTTGTACCAATTAATGCCGAGCGCCAGGCAGGGACCAACAAGTACCATATTTTAACGTCTTTTGCTATGACGCGGCCGGGGATCGTTCAATAGTTGTGAGAAGTACAGTTATGTTTGTCGACTGAATTCCGGTTCAGTCTAAGACACCTGCCCGCAGCCACACAGAAACACACGCTGGAAGGTCTGCCCGGCCTCCACTAGCCAAATACACTGGCAAATTGGCCTAAAACTGTGAAAGGTTTCACACCAAAAACACCATTGAACATGCCTTGGAAAAGCACCCGATGATAAAAAAGGTTCCATGTGAATTTTGATAGGAGGATATTCATAAAAAGACGACAGAACAGCATGTTTAATGTCCATAACATTGACGAGTCTCAATGCGCGCAAACCTGTGAAGATCCTGGATAGAATTGGTCTTCGGTAACCCATGCTTGTCGTAAGGGGCGACTAACGGGATCCGGTGGTCAGGCTCGCTGACTTGGTTGACACCTGACATCGTATCCCAGTTGGGTAGATCGAAATGCGCGGTCCCCAAGCAAAAAACTCAATGAGGGGTATGCCCTCGGTAAGCAGTGAGTACCGCATCACAGACCTATAGAGTCTTTCAAATGGATATGAAGGAATGACTTGCCTTAATCTCTGCATCTCTGCTGCCAAATCACGAATGGCACCTGGGGGGATTTGGTACACAACGCCGACACAATGCCCTAGAAGGGAAGATACCCCTTGTAAGCCAAGGCAGTGAGTTCTTGAACATATTGTGCCGTTGAAGAAAAGCCATATAGCATCCTTAGCCGTGTGAGTACGGGCATTATTATGTTTGAATGCCAGTCCTCGTTCACTGCCACTGGTCCGGGAATCTGATCTCTGCGGCCCACGCCCTGAACAGAAACTAAAAGAACTAAATGTGTTCTCAGACGTCCAGTTATCTCATCACAGGAACCACCCATACGCTATTCCTCTGCATGACACAGGTTTGGGCATAACGCTCTGTAGACACAACGGGAAATGTTACATCTGGACTCGTCTGTACACACAACCATCCTCCACCATAACGGAGGACGACAGACATGATTTTGGCACCACCTTTGACAGTTTTCATGAAAAGTTTGCTTCAGGATACGTACCCCCATATTAATATAAGCGGTTCCTGACCAGCGTTCGAAATTAACGTTGGTCCTTAGGCCCGAAGCCGACTGAAAACCACAAGGACCCACCGCTTTTGTTCTCTGCAGGTCCTTATGGCCGACTGCTTTTTCATCCCCAATAACTAAGAGTATTATTTTTCAGAAAATATCATTCAGTAATTTCTAGTTTTTATGTCGATAAGCAGCTGTTGTGCTTAAGTGAAAAGACTATCATTTTCGATGAAGCAATTTTGATTACAGACTTTTCAGAAGACTTGGATCTTGACATGGATGCTGATTTTGTTGTAAATGAAGACTAGTCAGTCACTAGAATTAAATTAAACTCTTTAACTAAGTTTGCTCGTTGTCACATTGTTTTGTTTGCTGGGAATTACTTATATTGTAGCTGAAATATAGGGCCTACACATTCTGATCGGGACCCACAACTTTTTGTGGTTCTGGGTCCTTAGGGGCTGCAGCTTTTCAGGGTTAAGGGCAAACACCATTCGTGCATCTGTTGGGCTGGATACGCCGAAATCCTGGAATGGTCTTAGCAGTGGTCACTACCGTCAGGAACCAGTGCACGGGATGGGTCAACGTATCAATCGTTCCTGTCCTGAAACGTGGATGTCCTGCACGTGGGCAATAAGCAACTTCAATAATGTTCAGATAATTTCTCTGCTGGATGGTGACAATGGAAATGCCCAGACAACTGGCAATCCTCCACTGACCATTCCATAGCCCAATGACGTTGGCATTATGTGCGGTTCATTAGCCGTTTTATTTTTTGAACAATCAAACATCAACAAAGCTTCCCAAATCGACAGCATTTTTAATATATATATGCACTCCACGAAATTGATGCAGATGCACAAACGTGGAAACACGTGACCATGCCGTAACCACTGACGACACAAAATGTAGCACATACATGTGTACACGTGTAGTTCCCATGTATATTTTGATTTCATATGAGCAGAGTTTCTTTTTGTGCCTAGTATATATTGTAAAAATATTCAGAAAAATTACGGAATAACCCCCTAGGATAGGATAGACTTTTGAAGTGTACAAAAGAAGAGTCAGTGGTGAATTAAAGTAGAATAACTCGGTCACATATCCCGGTTAATATCTAACCAACGACTAATTTCATTTAATGTGATCGTTGTTAAACACCACACTCAGCAATATTCAAGCTATACCGCGTCGGTCTGAAAATAAACAAGCCTGCACCAGACAATCTAGTGATCAACTGCATAAGCATCAATCCTCGCGATACAATGATGTGTCAACAGAGTTAGCGAGCCTCCTGCTAGTCGCCTCTGACCAATGTCTAGATTCAGTAAGCAACAGTGAGTGAGAGAATGGTTTTATGCCGCTTTTAGCAATATTCCGGCAACATCATGGCTGGGGAAACCA